ACCCAGAAACTCTTCTTGCACATACTTTTCACCCATTTACTTTTCACCCAGAGACTCTTCACCCAGAAACTCTTCTTGCACAGACTTTTCACCCAGAGACTCTTCACCCAGAAACTCTTCTTGCACATACTTTTCACCCATATACTTTTCACCACGGGCCTCTTCACCCAGAAACTCTTCTTGCACATAATTTTGACCCAGGAACTCTTCTTGCACAGGCTTTTCGCCCAGAAATTCTTCTTGCATATACTTTTCACCCATATTTTTTTCATTCAGAGACTCTTCACCCAGAAACTCTTCTCGCACATACTTTTCACCCATATACTTTTCACCCAGAGACTCTTCACCCAGAAACTCTTCTTGCACATACTTTTCACTCATATACTTTTCACCCACAGACTCTTCTTGCACATAATTTTGACCCAGGAACTCTTCTTGCACAGGCTTTTCGCCCAGAAATTCTTCTTGCATATACTTTTCACCCATATTTTTTTCATTCAGAGACTCTTCACCCAGAAACTCTGCTCGCACATACTTTTCACCCATATACTTTTCACCCAGAGACTCTTCACCCAGAAACTCTTCTTGCACATACTTTTCACTCATATACTTTTCACCCACAGACGGATCAAACTTATATTTCTCACTCACAGACTTTTCCCCCATATACCTTTCACCCATAAACTTTTCACCCAGAGACTCTTCACCCAGAGACTCTTCACCCAGAAAATCTTCTTGCACAGACTTTTCACCCAGGGACTCTTCACCCAGAAACTCTTCTTGCACATACTTTTCACCCATATACTTCTCACCCAAAGACGGATCAACCATATACTTCTCACCCACAGACTTTTCCCATATATACTTTTCACCCATATACTTTTCACCCAGAGCCCCCCCCAGACCCCCTATTTTCACTTCGTTCGCAAACAACAACTGGCCAGCTTCCCGGCCGGCTTTCGTAATATATATATATATATAAATATATAGGCCTGAATTGTCAGGAATGCTCTACATTCTGCTTCACAGGCCATTATGTACCTCCTCCACGGTACTTTTGGTGGTTAATTTTTGTGACAGCTGCTATGTCTACGCCTTCAAACCTCGCATTATGCGCTAGCCCTCCTTCCTCCTTCACACAAACACCTTCCCATCTGACATCACAGTGCCCGACAAAGACCCTCGAGCCGGGCGACTTTTGTCCTTCCTCCACCAACATCGACAGCAGTGGCAAAAGGCGCCTTTACCCTTACCTTTCCTATCTGTGCTAGCACTCCTTCCCCCTTCTCACAGACATCGGCTCCTCTGCCAAGCACCCCAAAAGGCTCCCCAAAATGCGGACCTAGGGGGAATCAATACCCTACCGTCACCCTTTTGCCGCATGGTACATGACCCGGAAAAACGCTCCCAAAACACACCCTTCCCCCCAAGTAATAGCGAGATTTTGGCGGACTTGGGCAAGCCCTCCCCCCAGACCCCCTTATACTCACTTTGTTCGCAGACAGCAACGATCCATCTAGCTGGCTTTCGTAAAAAAACAAAATGACAAGACCTAACTCTCTGCCATTACTTCCCCCCTTGGGGTGTGCAATCTTGTTTTTTTTTGTTTTTTGTTTTTTTGTTTTGTTGGTTTCTTGGTTTCTTGGTTTTTTGGTTTCTTGTTTTCTGGTTCGTTGTTGGTTTTTCTGCAATGGCTAAACAAAACCAAAATGCAAAAAAAACAAAAAAATGACAAGACCCAACTCTCTGCCACTACTCCCCCCTTGGGGTGTGCAATCTTGTTTTTTTTGTTTTTTGTTTTTTTGGTTTTTTGTTTTTTGGGGTTTTTTGTTCTTTTGGGTTTTTTGGTTTCTTGGTTGTTTGGTTTCTTGCTTCTGGTTCGTTGCTGGTTTTTTGAAGGGCTAAGGACCTAGACCTAACTCTTTGCCAGTTCTCCCACTGTAGGGGTTGCAAACTTGCTTTTGGTCGATCTTATGATTTGCTTTGGGCCTGTGGTTCCATTAGAAAACAATGTAAAAAATCATGGCAAAATGCAGGTATCACTGAAGGAAGCTTGGGGGGCTTGGGACACCACAAATGAGGCAATTTTGTCTGTTTATGTAATTTTTCAAAAACGGTGTTGAACAAATGCAAAAACATAGGCAGTCAATGAATGTGTAGAACTTATTTTGATACTGACATTCTTGGCTCAAACCTTGGGTTAGCACATCTTCAAACACTTTGAAAGATTCCCTTGAAAAGGAGTGATGCATCTCTTTGAAGTGAGTGCTTCCTTCAGCAAGTGCATGTCTTTTATAAAATGGTAGAGCCCGGTAGAGCATCCCATTGAAGTAGGTCATGTCTCAGTCTACTTCTATGTCAAAAATGAACCCTCTTGCACATGCAATGCCCTTTTCACAATATATTTTCTTAAATGAAGAACACATGGTACATGTAAGCACGTAAGATATGTCTTTCACAATTGCACATCATTTTTCTGAATGCATAATGTGATATTCTTCCCAGACAACGAACCATATTGTGGGAATAACACCCTTTGGTGTAGGCAGCTCCCCTCTTGAAAAATATTGTAATTTGAAGAATGTCCATCTTTAAACCTTAAGGCAATCAAACATTGTTTGAACATATGGTAGTGCTCACAGTTTCAAACATATTGCACTTTTGAAAAGGATGCCCTATGTCAATAACACTGCATATATCATGCGGAAATATTGACTTTTCTAAAAGGGGTACTGCTCCTTTGAAAGGAGGGTTAGACATCTGGAAATGCACACTGCAATCCTTCAAAGGGCAGGTGCAACTTTTCAAGGAATACTTCATATTTTGTTTGGATATTGTCCCTGCAAAAACACACTGCATTGCCCCAAAGGAAGATTGCTCTTATTCAGAAGGATATGTTTGTTTTGAATACTGCATTTGGTGGCAGGTATGGGGATGTTGTAATTATGTTGGAGTCATCTAGCATATTCTGCAGAAATTGTGTTTTGTTGAAAGGACAATGTAGTAGCATTTATCTAAGGTAGAGTGAACACCTGGACACTTCTTCAAGCAATACATGCTCTCTAGTGGACATCAACACAGCTTCATCTGTAGCTTAAGTTTTAATGTGATTACAGTTTTGAAAAAACAATAAAAAAAATGCACTCCCACAGCGTCCTGCTCTCCAGTTTTCCTTATTTATTTTGATATTGTTTATCTTAAATTATGTTTTAATTATTTACTTATTTGTTCATTTATGACCAACCAACTGGTTTATTTGTTTATTTATCTATTTTTATTTTATTCATTTTATTTATGTTATTGATTTATTTTGTTTTACTTTATTTTTTTCATCTATTTTATTCTATTTAACTCTATTTTATTTATTTATTTTATTTATGTTATTTAGTTATTTATTTAATCATCTATTTATTTTATTTATTTATTTTATCTTATTCTATTTCATTTATTCAGTTATTTTATTTATCTATGTATTTATTCATGTATGTATTTTGTTTGCTTATTTACTTTATTTTATTTTATTCATGTATTTATTTATTTTCTTTTATTTATTCATTTATTTATTTATTGGCTTACGTATTTATTTCCTTTTTCAAATTGATTTATGTATTTATTTATTTATGTATTTTATTTTATGTTTTTATTTATTTTTTGATTTTAATTTAATTTATTCATGTAGATTTATCTATTTATTTATTTATTAAATTTATTTATTTACTTGACTTGATTCATATTATATTTACTAATTTTATTTGATTAGATATTCTTATTTTATTCATTTATGTATTTATTTATGTATTTATTTATTTTATTCATTGTTTTTTTAATATTGTGTGTCTGTGTTTTTATTCTTTTTATTTATTGTTTCTTTATTTGTTTCTTCATTTTCTTTATGTATTTATTTTTTATTTGTTGATTTATTTTCTTTATGCATCTATTTTTGGCAAATTATTTATTTAATTATTGTTTAATTATTTAATAATTTACTTATTTATTCATTTATGACCAACCAACTGTTCTATCCCAAACAAAAAATGTTGAGGGATTGAGTGCCCAAAAAGAATACTCAAATGAATTCATGACCAATGAACCAACAAAATTTGGGATGTCTCAACCACCAAGAAATGGTCCAAGGGGCCGCTTCAATGCGTCCACACTCCCCGGCAGGGAAATTCCAGCGTTGGAGGTCTCAGCCGCCATGGGCTTGGCTCAGCAGTTTTGTATCATGGCTTTTGTGGCATCTGGCGATGGCGACCTACCATAGGTGTATCAAAGAACACACCAAACGGAGTGGTTTTTTGCAGTGAATCAGCCAATGAATTCAATCTTTTCAAATGTCAGGCCACAAAAGTCTCTAGCCGTTTTACAATCTCTTTGACATACAGCAATGAGGCGCTATCTGCTTAAGGGAGAATCTCAAGCTTGTTTTTGCCGGTGGGAGGTGGACAGCATCATAGTGTTCAAGTTGTAATAATTCTGCGTGTTCAGCTGCCAAAAATGGGCGTGGCAACGGGAAGTGCTCTTCCAATAAAGAAAAACGATCCCCTTCCCTCCAAAATCAAACACCCCCAAAAACCTTGGTTTAGTACTGGATCTATTCATTTTGGGGGGGCATATCGGTGTGGTTGATATTAGGGGGAAATGGGAAGCGATTCATGTCTCCGTCAACCAGATGAAATGCGCTCTCTGATTCCAGACGAAAGTCTCCTGTCTTTGTTGTTCTGTCTCCCACCTTTTGGCACCAGGGGCTCAGAATACATGAGCATGGACTGCACCATCCGTACGGAAATTGGCCACAATAAATCGTCTCCTAAAAAAGACATGCTTCTGGAACTCAAATAGATGACAAATGCGGTGCATGTCTAAAGCATTCAGAACACACCAATGTAGAGAACTTAAAGACCTTTTGGATTCAGTATGGTTGTATGCCTTAGACTTGTTTATTTCAATTTTGCCTCAGGATTTGGGTATCTTTCCACTCAACATTAAAGCCAGGCAGCCCTTCACATTGGCACTGCTCTTTTCTCCTGCTGTTCGGAGGTGAAGCCCTCACTCCCACAGTTTTCGTTTTGGAAGTGCAGGAGGTAAAGGCAGTGCACTCAGGAAACCTGCAGTCAAGGGTCAAAAGGTCAAAATCTGGCTTTTTGCACCCCCAAATTGCCAAACACAACTCCCAACCCCCGGGGCCCCAACACCCCGGCAGCCCCCAACATCCCCCCGGGCCTTGCGCTTTCCTCCTCGCCTTCTTGGCTCCCCAGCTCCCCAACGCCGCCCCCAGCAGCGGCAGCGCCGCCAGCCGCACCAGGCCCAGTGCCAGCGCCGCCGCTGCGGCCAGGCAGCTCCAGGCCACCAGGCGCTCGGCGATGTCGGAAAGGCGGGAGAGGAAGGACAGGGCGGCCTGGAGGATGGTTTCAGGATGGGAGATGTTAGGTCAAAAGAACTGGTGGTTAAATGATCTTGAAATTGTAAATGGGAGAAGGCATTTTTAAAAAATTGGGATGTTTGATGAAAATTGATGAAATATCACCAACTACGTATCATGGTTGGAATGGGAGTATTTAATGGGATATACTGTAGGTTACATGGGAAAACAGTTTCAATTGGGATTTTCAATGTATCAACAACAATATATAATGGGTTTTGACTGGGGATATAATGGGAATATCATGTGGATGCATGGTATATAACTAATCAGCAACATTGGCATTTGCATATTGGACAGATGTGATCATTGGTGGTTGAATCCCCACTAAAGACCCCACTATAATCCCAAGAAATCCCGACAAAGAGCATATACGCCCTGGTCAAGTCACATGGGATGATGTGCTATGGTCATCCATCCCATGGGAATTCATGACATATATATATGTTATATATATACTATATATAATATATATAATATATATAATATATATAATATATATAATATATATAATATATATAATATATATAATGTATATAATATATATAATGTATATAATATATATATAATGTATATAATATATATAATGTATATAATATATATAATGTATATAATATATATATATATAATGTATAAAATATATATAATATAATGTTTATAAATATATATATATACTATATATATATACATATGTATATATATATATACATATGTATATATATATATACATATGTATATATATACATATGTATATCCCTATTTTATGATTCTTCCCCCAATATGGTCAATTTAAACTAGTTTTGACCATGGCACATATGTTTTTATTTTGTGATACCGGTCAAGGACGGTTGATATGTGTAAAAATAGATTGATTCTGCTCAATAAATGTGTTGAATACACATGAAGATAAACATATATTATGTATATTATATATATATTATGTATATTATATATATATATTATGTATATTATATATTATATATATAATGTATAAATATATATATATTAGCTTTTTTTAAAGCCTCATAAACAATGGTTTTACGTCGGGGGTACGAGTGGCTAACGGACGTGGTGACGAACGTAAGGCGAATGAGTGAACGGACGTGTGCGTACAAGTGGACGGACGTGCGCGCGTACGTGCGTGCGTTTGCACGTTCACTGGCCGCGCGCGCGCACGTATGAAAATAAGGTCGACTCCAGTCGACCTTAATCGACCTTATTTCTGTACGTGCGAAGCGCCACAATACTAAAAAGGTAAAGAAAGGCAGGGTCGTGCAAAAATAAGGTCGACTCAAGTCAACCTTATTTTCGTACGTACGCGCGCGCGTGGCGAGTGAACGTGCAAACGCACGGACGCTCACACTTTTGCTCGCACGTACGCTCACTCGTACATACATACGTTCGCACGTACGTTCACTCGCACGCATGTCGTTCACACACACGTTCATACCCCCGTTCATGTCACTCGTCACTACACGTACGATAGATAACAAAAATATTTTTTTACGAGACTTTAAAAAAAGCTAATATATATATATATATATATGGTCACCCCCCCCCTACGACCCACCAATGTGTCATTTGTATTGTTATTTGCAGCATAAAATGCGTATTTTTAGTATTCCATTTTTGTCTTCTTCGTATATAGTCATAACAATACAATATCTTAAGGCACTTTGGGGAAGGCCCCATAGAAACACAATTGACCGCCGACCCAAAATCAAAAAAACATCGGGAAAACAAAAAAAAAAAAAAACAATATTTTCCGACTCCTCTGGGGTCACTCCATGAAAAAAACAAAAAAACCTTGAGAAAACCAAAAAAACAAAAAAAACAAAAAAAAACAATATTTTCAGACTCTTCTGGGGTCACTCCATGAAAAAACCAAAAAAACCTTGAGAAAACCAAAAAAAACAAAAAAAACAATATTTTCAGACTCTTCTGGGGTCACTCCATGAAAAAACCAAAAAAACCTTGAGAAAACCAAAAAAACTAAAAAAAACAAAAAAAACAATATTTTCAGACTCTTCTGGGGTCACTCCATGAAAAAACAAAAAAAAAACCTTGAGAAAACCAAAAAAACAAAAAAAAACAAAAAAAACAATATTTAGAAACTATCTCGAGGGCCCCCCCCCAAAGAATCGCTAAATATTGTTTTTTTTGTTTTTTTTGGTTTTCTCAAGGTTTTTTTGGTTTTTTCATGGAGTGACCCCAGAAGAGTCTGAAAATATTGTTTTTTTTGTTTTTTTTGGTTTTCTCAAGGTTTTTTTGGTTTTTTCATGGAGTGACCTCAGAAGATTATAAGAATATGAAAACTCATAATTTCTCCAATATTTCTTAAATGCAAACACTGTCTATCACTCATGCATCTGCCAATCCGTAACTGAACTGTTTCAAATCCAAACTACTGCCTTGACCTGTCTGTCATTCATGCATCTGTCCAGCTTCAACTCAGCCATTTCAATTCCAAACTGCTTCCTGGATCATCGCATTTGCTTCTTCGTTTTTTTTTATTGTTTCATGGAGTGACCCCAGAAGATTATAAGAGTATGAAAACTCATAATTTCTCCAATATTTCTTAAATGCAAACACTGTCTGTCACTCATGCATCTGCCAATCCGTAACTGAACTGTTTCAAATCCAAACTACTGCCTTGACCTGTCTGTCATTCATGCATCTGTCCAGCTTCAACTCAGCCATTTCAATTCCAAACTGCTTCCTGGATCATCGCATTTGCTTAACGCTCGAGCTTTTTGGCTTGTCAGCTGACTTCTCCTGTGCCCTCTTCAATTTCGCCTCGCCTCGACCCAGGATCTGCGCGTTTGATCAAAGACTGGCTATGCAAAAAAGATTCACCGCTTTGCATGCTTCGCTGCAGTTGCTCTTCTCCTGTCGTCAAACATGAGTTCATATATCTTACTTCCTTAACACAATGGCATTTGACATGTGTCCACCTTTCTCTTCTGTTTCAAGAAGAATCTTCAAAGCTACAACTTACACCGCGCAATCTTCACCAAAAAATTGCATGCCTGCTGTTTAACCGTTAGTTTCTGCTTTTTAACGTCATAGTCTTTTGACAAAAAACAAAATGTAGTGTAATATAGTGATACGATGTAATACGTATAATTTGTCTAATGTACAATAGTCCTCTTTGCATGCCCCTAGGTTATATGGGGCTGGCGGTGTGTACTGTAGTTTTTTCGCACTAGTCTTCGCGGTCTGGACAAATATCTATAACGCTCGAGCTTTTTGGCTTGTCAGCTGACTTCTCCTGTGCCCTCTTCAATTTCGCCTCGCCTCGACCATGTCCAACCAGCAAGTGAGCAGTGGCTCTATTTCAGAACAGGCGACGGAATGTGTTCCAAACCCTGCCCGGCCTGATGGGAGGGCCATCCATTACGGAGATTTCTCGCGTCAGCGTAGTAGTTCACCTCCATTTGTTGGTGTCCGCAACCCTGCGCGCCCCGGGACGGAATGTATTCCAAACCCTGCCCGGCCTGATGGGAGGGCCATCCATTACGGAGATTTCTCGCGTCAGCGTAGTAGTTCACCTCCATTTGTTGGTGTCCGCAACCCTGCGCGCCCCGGAGGTGGTGCCATAGATTATGGCAGTTTTGGGTGTAAGAGTCGCTCCAGGACTCCTCCACCATCCGATCGCACCAATCGTCTGATTGGAGGATAGAAATTCCCGTAAACAAATGCAATGTAAAATATACTAGTCTTTCAAAATTTTAAAAAAAATGTTAGTAGGAAAGTCTCAAGCGCAAAAATTTTCCTATTAGCGATTGGTGCGTAGAGGCAGTTTTCACAGCAGCATAAGACCTCAGCTTAGCAAAAGTGATGCTGCTGCGGCAGGGTCGACTCGTTGGTGACTTCAACGTGGTTCTGTGCAGACACAAGTCAAGCATAGTGAAGCAGATGGCGGGTTGAGGGGGGTCGTTGGGGGGGGGCTGAGCATATATATATATAAGGCATGAAATTCATGAAAAAGTAGGTTTTGGGGGGGGTTAGCATATATATATATATATTGATATTGATGTTGATAGTGGTTCAAAATAATTGACATCAACGAGTCTGAGTAACGGACATGAATACTGGGTTCTTAATACATAATTCTTTATAGGTAGCAACCAAGAGGATGAGATTTTGGGTCACAACAAAATAAGAAGTTTGGAGATGGGATAATTCACCAAAATTAGGATGGGACCTGGGTCACTGGGGGCTTCCTCTTTGTGCCTGCGAACTGACTAGCACTATATATACGCCATGTAGCCCAAGTATTGAGATGTTTTATCATGATTCTCACCAAATGTTTTCAGGCTTCTAAACATGTAAGGGGAGAGGTTTCACCTCCGTCTTTCTCAACAAAAAATGTTCCAACTTCGGCTGCCTGTGCATCCTTGCTGAAGGAGGTATGCGCCATCCAGCGATCGAAGACCATCTGTTGGTCCACAGGCTCCGGGTCCTTCTTCAGGGATCCAAAGGGCCCACCCCCGCGTTCCGCGATCCAGGCACCAAAACGGGCCACCAGAGCATCGGCATTGGTTTCCAGAAGATATTCACTTGCTGGTCCACCATACTTCCTGGGCTCGGGAGCTGAAAAAACACGACAAAAGGGGCCGCTGTGAATTTGAAGGATGCGATTGGATTGCAAAATGATTGGGGTGCTGGCATAGTTGCTTGCTTGAGCAAGAAACAAGACTGATGATGAGGAGAGCAGTCTTGGAGTGATTATGCAGGGATGGTGTGCTTCAAGCAAAGCAAACTTAAGTGCCAGCAATCCACAGCGTTCATCACAAAAAGAAAAATCACAAAGCAATTGGTATGTACTTCTCAGGTTCACTCCGCAACATCTTGCAATGCTTTAACCAAGTCTCTCTGACACTCGGGGCTGGCGTAGCTGCCCGTGCTGAACAGCTGGCAATCCCACGGAATCTTGGAACGAGAGAATGGTGTTGTCTTGATCCCCAAGAAGGCCCTGGCAGCACAGCTTCAGCCTCAAAACCTCAATCCTCATCCTACCGATACCCCAATTCCCATCAATCATCCCCATATTAGCCAATATTAATTCGACACATTCGACACCGCCTCCCATCACAAAATCACAATCACCCCATCCCCAGGTCCCCAGGTCCCCAGGTCCCCAGTCCCCAGTCCCCAGTCCTGTAGCAGTTTCCATGCAGCCAGGCCCCGTCGGATCCGGCCCAGCTCCGGCCAGCGCTCCTGGCTCCAAGCCAGGGCGGAGGTCACCCAGCTGCGCCGCACCTTGGTCTCGGCGCTGCCCAAGCTGCGACCTCGAAAAGGATCGTTGTGGTTTGATTGACAGGATATACATAGCTACAGTAGATGGATGGATAGATGGATGGATGGATCGGTTGAATGATCAAAAAAGAAGAAGAACAACAAAAAGAACAAAAATGACAAAAAGAACAGAAATAACAGAAATAACAAAAAGAACAAAAAGAACAAAAAAACAAAAAGAAGAAAAAGCACAAGAAACAAAAAACAAGGAGAAGAACAAGGAGAAGAACCAAGGAGAAGCACAAGGAGAAGACTGGTTGTTGCGTAAGAGTGCACAGCCCTTAGGGTGCACACGTCATGCCACCAGAGGTATTCTTTTTTTGTGACTATGCTCAGTGGATGGATGGGCAGAAACATGTAGTCAATGTAGTCGTAATACACAAATAATCACAAATAGCAGCAGCATCATGATTTTGGGGATGGGTCAACGGAAACCAAAATAAGTGGTGTATATTTTGGTAAACAGAGTGGAGATACACAACTTATACACTACTGATTGTTCATTTCAATCATCATGTTGGTTTGATTGTTCACATTAGCAGGCATTAGGTGGATAGCTGGAATCTGCACGAACGGGTATAGCTGTATAGCTAACAGATAGCTAAGATGTAAGACCTTACACATTTAAATAGGGATACCCAGGATGCGCAAAGAAATGTATATATGATTTCCACATCATTGGTAAAAGCCACGGAATCAGTGTTGCAACCTCGCAGGCCGAGGAGCCTTTTAGCACAACCTTAGACATCTGCATCATGTTCCCAGAGAGGTTGCTCTTCTGCTTGGACTCTTCATCTTTGCTTGGAACAAAATACGATGTCGTGATTTGCCGGACCTTCCCAGGCTCAGTGGGAATGAAATAAAAATTGAAGCCGATAATGCGACCATCCGGATACAAGTACGAAGTCGAGTTGGCACACGGTGGCATAAATCGTCGATCGGCTTTCATACCCATATTGCTTTGCATGTAGCCACCATGGCTAACCTTCAAACCTTCATCACCCAAATCCTGAATTTGGAAGGGCTCCATCGCGGAAGCATATTCCGGAGCAAAGTTGGGCAAGGCATATTGATGCAAGAAGGGTGCATGACTGGGATCCCAGCTTTGTTCAAGCCACACTCTCCAACCTGCAGGCACATCAAAGCAGCTCCAGTTTGGACTTTCAGACAACTCCTCAGGAACAAACGGATCCTTTCCAAGTGCCTCTTTTTCACTACCAGCATGAGGCCACACAAACAACAAGCCTTTCTTGATCTTGGTGGGGTAGGAAGCCAACTTACTGCGCTCCTGCCCCAGCAATCTGGCTTTGGCTTCCTCATCCCCTTCGGCCATGGGGACTTTGCTGCAAGAGCCATTGCCCTTGAAGCACCAGCCATGGAAACGACACATCAGCTGGCCATCGGAGTTCACCCTGCCATGTGCCAAAGGGGCCAGGCGGTGTGGACAAATGCCACTGTTGCACCGCCACTCTCCATCGCCATCTTTCCAAAGCACCAAATCCTTGTTAAGCAGCTTGATGGGTTCAGGCCCCGATCCCTCCAACATGGAAAGTGGCAACACCGGATACCATTGCTTCTCCCAGTTGAAGCTGGCCTTGGGTTTTGGAGCCCGTGCCACCTTGCTCTTCCTCTCAACCCCTGTCACCACCGCCTTGCGGCGGCTGCGGGCTACCCCCACTGCTCCCAGGAGACCCACAGCACTGGACGGCCAGCGGCACCCAGCGCTAGAGGCTGAGCTTGTGTGCGCCGAAGGCTGCAAGCCAGGTGCGAGGTGCGAAGGGATGCTGACTGGAGCAAGGGGTGAAACGGAAAGCATGGCGACTCCACGCACTACAAATGAATGCAAGAATCCAATGTTGGATTGTTTCCCTCTGGATAATGGGGCTAGACGTTACTGGTGTTGTGGTTAATGGACTTCGACAACTGCAACTCTAAGGGGATTCAGATTGTTTGCTGATACAGAAACCCAAGACTGTTTCTTTGGTGCAAAAAGACTTCAAACATCCACGCCATATGAAATCTTATAGAATTAGAGTACAACCAGCACGAGGAGTCATCAAAAATTGGACAGTTTCTAATAATTCCCGGTCACGTGCAAATTGCCAAATCTATGGCTGCAGTCATTGAAAGGTCAAATTCTGGGCTTGGAAGACCGGCAGAAGCCCAAACGCTGCGCCAAGTCCTAATCCCACATGGTCCAGCACGCCTCATGCGAGATATCATGTGAAGAGAATATATGGGATATCTACAGGGTTGATATCCCAAGGGGATATGGGTATGGACCAAAATGGAGTAAAAATCGGCAGCACCAATCACCTGTTAACCCACAAGATTGGTTTTGTTTAGTATGAAATCATGCGCTTTGGGGGAATGATCATGTTGACCCACGAGCAGACGATCAGATGTGCCAAAATGTGCCAAAAAAATATGTCACATGTCCCTAATCAACTGGTTGATACTCATATTCCCCATTGAATGGCCATAAATTGCGGTATGCCGCCCCATTTCCAGATTTACCCCAAGCTGCAGCCCATGTTCTCTTTTGCTTCACGGACACCTTCGATCCAACTACAAGTGAAACTTTGGACGCCCACAGTGGAGCCACAACAGGCTTGGAGGGAATCCAATTCACCTTTCGCAACTCTGGCAAAGATGTCAAATAGCCTGTCCTGTCCATTTTACGGGAGAAAATAGAACAGAAATAGAATATACGATTATGTATTATATACAAATATAAAGTGTATATGGATATATAGAATTCATGAAATGTGGTAGACCATGGTAGACCTACTGAAACCATCCCCCAACTGGGACTTCTTGGACTTCCCGCAGGGCATTGTCCCATTGTCCCATTGTCCTCGACGCGAACGGCGTCGTGACGCAAACGCGCTGTTCCAGCGGTTCCAGCGTCAGCGCATTGGCTGGCATCTTTTGGAAACTGGGGAAGTGAGGATGGTGAAAGAACCACCATATGCTGGTGATATAGTGAGATACCTATAGTATTATGGGGAAAGAACTGGTGAATATATACAGGAAATGAGGTAGATACAATGATCACCTGTACTAGTAGATATTTCCGCAAAAACCAACCCAATGATTTGAATTTGAACATGCCTTTGCTCGTGAAGATTTCTGGTACCCTTCGCGACAAGATACAAATCTCCGTGGCAAAGTTGGGGCACCAACCAATGGACCCACAAATTTGATCACATATCGTATTGAACGATAGGCCCATAGCCAATAGAAGGAGCTCAATGAGTTTACCCGTCCTCACCTCCCCAGCTGCATCATGTGTACAACAGTGCGTGTTGCTACACCAGCTACACACCACCACCGAGGTTATCAGATTTCTCTGGCTGAAAGGCCAGCATTGGATCCACATACCAGTAGGATCCCGTATATTTCCCTGCTGACCTCAGTGATCCCAACACCATCAAGAGGCTTCCAGCAACCTCCAATCACATGTAGAAACACCCAAAGGTCCAATGCAGTTTGGCCACCTGTCAATATGCGTTCGCACCTCCTTCCTCCAGTGATGCATGCCATCCATAGCCTCAAAGATGGTGAGTCGTCCATTTGGGCACTGCCCAATCAGAAGTCCCATGTTTCGCAAAAAATCAGAAGTTGTTTGTTTCATTCAACAAACTGAATCAGCTTTTTAGATGATCAAATGATCAGCTAAACTTCTCGTCCTTAGCTGAATCGCAGCCAAGTCACACCATCTGGTGGGGTGATCACTGGAGTATTCGCAGCTGTCAATACATAGGCGCCCTGCAAACCTGCTTGGAGAATGGGATCACCAGAAGGGTGGACCTATGGCATCATCTAGGTACCCAAAATGGATGGTTTATAATGGAAAATCCTACTAAAGGAGATGATTTGGGGGTACCCCCACTTTAGGAGACCTCTAAATATGTGTCTTATCAGTTTTCAGGCGCCTGGCTTCCAGTTCTTCAAATAATTCCGACATATTCTGACCCATGAGCCCGCCTGGAACCCAAGTTTTGCTAAGCCAAATGCAGGCCCAGGCACTCACGGTGTATGCATGTACACATGATCCCGGCCAGCCATACTTCCTTGCCAGATTCAGGCCATCACAGTATGAGACGATAGCCGGTTTCACCATGAATGCATGGCGTTTCTGAGCCCAAAGGGACATAAGTTTTCATAAATTTTCATAAGCTGTGATTCCAGCATGATCCAAACATGTTGCGAGTTGTCACCTCCAAACCCTCCAATTGAACCAGTTCTAGAACCAACAAGATCAAGAAAGCACAGCTTCAGTCAGTTTTCATGGATGATCAGACCACCAAACGACAGCTGCGTCAAGTTAGGCAGATCCAAGCGTCACTTTGGGTATGGATGTCTTATCAGGAGACTCATGTCGAGGCTTTGCTCCACCGGGACCTCGGCACAGGTCGCAAATGTGGGGTCAAAAAAGATACAATACCCCGGTATTTCACACCATTATAGCCTTAGCTGTTGTTTTGCTTGTCCATCCATCCGTCCCTCTCAAAAGTTGTATTTTTTGGGGACTGATCCATGGCCGCACAATACACCCTTGAGGACTGTTCAGCAGTTTTCGGTCAGTCTTGGTAGTCAACCACCTGCTGCCTGGCGGCAAAAACCCCAAAGGACCACATCAAACGGAGGTAGGCTATCCTGCAAGTTGTCACCGCACATGGCGCGGCAAGACTTCAAGTTGGCGCCGGTAAGACCAAATTTCTGATGCAAAAATCAGACTTGGGATAAGCGAGTGGTCAATAATCCTGACATTACCCGATAAAATCCAGTTTCAGTCATAGTTTAACTGGCTTTTCCAAATCTACCACTTCAGCTGCTCAAAGCATCCAAGATCGTCGCAGTCTACCTCTTCAAGTTCCATCAGCAGCCAAGTCGCTGTAACTGCTGCCACACGTTCACTGAAGTTGGTGGCCAGACCAACATCATCTTCAAAAATGGTGGCGCAAGGCCATTTCTCATAGAGCATCATCTCCTAAGAGTCTCTGAGATGCCTCAAACCCTCAAACTTCAGATCTCGATCTGTACCGCCTGTACCTACAGTATGTCCATTGGGATGGTGCCATGCAACGGAATCCTCATGAATCCTCTATAGTTCCAGTTCCCAAGTTGGGCTCAAGATATCAGATCGGTGATTTCCGGACAAACCCCCGTAGTGAAGGTCAGTTTTACATAGTTTTGTCTCATTCTATCCCTCATTGTGATGTGGATACCGGATACCCAAATTCTATCCAGATCACCCCATGGCCACCAACTCATCCAAGAGTCATAGATTTCCCGGTGGCTCAAAGCACCTCAAAAGCGAAAATCTTGGGATCAAAGGATATATGGATTGACAATGGACCCACAAAATCTTGGGTTTAATTGAACCATCCATTTGAGGGGGGTTAACATGTTAACCATTGTTAACCCCCATCAAAGTGCTGCTATGCTGTGCAATCCAAGGAAATGCTGATTATTTGAACCAGGGATGTGGGAGTTGCACTCTCGTGTATCTCTTCCAAACACTTTCAAATGAATCTTAATGGGAGTGGCCATGTCAATCATCCAGTTTGACAACCTCAACAGCAACTCCGAAGAGTGTGAAACACCGATCACAGCTCAATTCAAGTTTGGTTCGGTCTTTGAATGCATCTGTCTGACCTGCATATCGAAAGGTCACCCAAGTCTAGCACAAAAGACTCCAGATTGGCAAAATAATGCAACTTCTTTCCAGTTTTCCTGCAAGGGTTGTTTGCCATGGCCAAGAGACATCCAACCTTGGGATCACAAGGGCACCTCGGCCAAAGGAGCTTCCATTGGGAGACGTAACGAAAGCAAGAGTACAAATCAAACAGCCACCCATCTTTTTGAAGTCCACACTGTGCACATCCCATCTTTGATCAGCTTTGCATATGTGGATCTTGGAAACAAATGCCCGGGTGATGAATTGAATTCTAGTTGCCACTTTCTGGTCCCCTTTAAAAACGAACCTTGTCCCGCCTGCTTTCACAGGAATCGTCAGTGTGCCTATTGTGGTGGCGCTCTGCAGAGAATCAACCCAACTCACACCTGAAAGTGCCAAAGGCGCTCCTTCTTTCCAGTCTCTTTGGCCAAGCGCTCGTTGTTTTGGAAGTTCACAGCTGGCCAAAACTTGAAACGTCCTGCCAAGAAGTCCAGCCCATGCAGATTCCAGGTGACCCTGTTTTTCTCCCTTGAATGAATTCCCCATTGTTCACGGGTTTTAAAAAAAATGTTCAAATCCAAAATTGGCAAATACCCCAACTGGCCCTTACAAAAGGGGGAAACGGATTTTCTCCACCCTGGGAGGTTCCACCTTTCCCTTCAAACCGCACTGTTCGCAGCATCCTTTTAGGCCACCCCGTTCAAACTCTTCGTAGATGTGATCTCTTCTAGCTTGGCCGCCTGCATTGGGGATGGTGTATACCACCCATGAAAATGGTGATCTTGGGGATTTTTGTTGGGTTTCAGTTTTACGACATAGCACATTTCTTTGTCTAAATATACCATACCTGTTCTTTTGCTTAAATTATCTACTGCTTTCACTGCGGAAAAGACTATGTAAAGAAACCCAATTTAGGAGTTCCCGATTGTGAGACAGATCTTAATACGCTTCATGAAGGCTTGTAGACACTGCCCACTAACAGATTCATTCATGCAGGCATCGCGGCCATTTGTTGTTGAGTCCATTGCTGCATTGCTCTACTCAACTCGCGGCCGCGACAGCCTGGACCCTCCAAGTTGATGACTAGTAAGTGCTCCTTGGAACGGCCGGTGAAAGTGAGCGCTCATTGCTTTCCACAAGTGGCAGGTCTGATAAAACCTTGGGGGGGTACTTGATAAGACCTTTGGGACATCCAAGTAATCCTTGGGGTGGACAGTCCAAGGTTCCAATGGATCACACTTGACCACCTTGGGCAATTCCATGATGACTTCCTGTCGGGCTCCAGGATGGCAACAAAAAATCAGCGGCAAAGCATGGCAACACAAGGTGTTCTCTACGTTGCATGGGTCCTCCATTCGTTCTGACCTCTTTTATGCACAACATGGTAACCCACCAGCAGGTCAGCTCTTAGGGCCAAGACTGAGGATATGCCATACAAACATCCTGTGGATGGACAACTCATCCTGCACCAGTTGGTAACTATCAGTAACTATCAGTAACCATGAAACAGGGTAAATGATGGGATTCCAATGGGATAGATCCCATCCCAACATCCCAACAATCCAAAATTTCAGATTGAGGTCTTCCCAAGGCCTTAAAGCCACAATTTGCACTGGATGGAAATTGGGAAGGTGCAAACAAAACGGCGCACGGCGAGCTGTCTTTTTGAACCTGGGCCTCAACAGTCATACACAAGTTTGTGCATGCCACTAATGAAACATGTGGTTTCACATGTACTGTCGTGATTGTCGTTGAATTGTCCCATTAGTCCACACTTCTCGATTTGTGCTGAGTGTCATCCTTGTGCAGTGGTCATGCAAGGCAAATGGAACTGGTAAGTGCTTACATCAAAGTTTTGCACTCCTCCTTGGATTGACGAGTTTCAACTGATCAATCCACACTCCAATCCAAATTTCCTTTTCCACCATCACTGCACGTGACACTTCCATGCAAAATTTTCAGATCTCTTTGTCATTCGGCAAAAGCGTTCTCTCTCAATTGATTGGCATACCTTTGAAATCGTTCCGCAATAAGAGGTTCATTGCTGACTCGTTGACGGTCAGCTACATGCTCCAATCGATCTCCCAGTTGTTGATATAACCTGATTCTCGCTCCTCGTTCCAGGGGTTGTCCAATGTTAAGACTATCCAGAACCATCATGATGCATCGTTGAATCTCAGCTGATTCTTCCCAATTCTCTCTGGCGAGAAAGGAATTCAACTCCTGTCTGAGAGTGTCATGAATCCTTGTTAGCTCACCAGATGCTTCAGAGACAGGAACAGGTGGGTCGGAGGTTGCCACTTCTGACTCGGCTCCCTCTTGCTTGTCCACCATGTCAGTGTCGTCTCCAAATGCCACGCCTCGATTCTGTTGCATCACTGTTGACATGTACCTGTTTGACCCCATAGTTCGAGCTGCTACCAGGTTGGCTCTCTCGATTGTGAACATGTGTTGTCTTTGAGCTGGTGTCAGTTCTGAATGAATCGTGTACCCTCCGAGCATTACCAGGCCGTAATGAAGAGAATCGGCTTGGTCAGACAAAATGTCATCTTGGCTTTCCAGAAGCTTGAAATTTCTCTGTAGCTCGGCGATTTGATTCTTCATCTCATTGACTTCACCTCTCAACGTCTTGTTCTCATTGCAGAGTTTGTCCACTAGGCTATCTGTCATCGCCATCAATCCATAGCTGTGCTCGTAGCTGTCATAGGCATCCTTTGCCCATTTGAATGTTCTTGCCATGAAAAGTACCACACCCAGAAAAACCATGGTCATCAGGAAAATTGCAGTGTATGAAAATGGTTCATATTGATTGTATGCATTGGGCTCCAAACTGCATTGGTTGTCTGCATCAGACATTGGAAACGCAGCCGCTCCCCTGAGGGTAGAAGACTCAAGGCCCATCACCATCAGCACTCTTGCAATTTGTTTCGCCAGTTTTGTCATCTGACGTCCTCCATGGCGTTCGGACTGCATATGGTACTCGGGTTCACCAATCAGACAAAAATCGTCTGAGCTTGAAGCAACATTCATCTCATGTAAGAGCAAATGGACACGTTGAACTCCCAAGCTTTTGGTGCCAATATCACTGATATTCCATATGGTTGGCATTTGACTGAGCTTGAAATCGTTGTTGCGTATGGCATCCTGTATCCACAGAATCTTTCCACTCACATGTTTTACTTTTCCAGTCCCCTGCCTCATCACCAGCTGTCTCCCTGAAGAGGAATCGGTGTACATCATGTCTTCAGCCTCACATTTGCATACAAATTGGATGCACCTTCGAAGAAAAATTCCATCACTCAATGTACTCACCATGGCGTGTAATTCAGCCTCGCAACTTGACAAGCTAACCACTCTCTGTGTACGTGAGCTTGCAAAAAGGAATGAGCCATTGAGCATGTGTACACCACAGCTAGTGGAGCGTCTATGAGACTGGTTGCTGCTCCAATCGCTGTCACTGAAACTTTCCAACAACCAAAACTGATCTGTTGAATGCCACTTTCCTTGACCCCCTGTTGGAATCTCCAACAGAACACGGTAGTTGGGTGTTGCTTTGAGGTACCCAACCAACTTTCGAAGTCTTTGCAGGGCTGTGCATGTGGGTCGTGACATAGCTCCACTGAGCTCTTTCACAGTAAACAACAAATCAGGACGGTCTCTTGCAAGGTAGAGACATGTTCCAACAACTGATCTGTATCCAAAGGCATCTTTTGGAGCTAGTTCATCAGAGCGGTCCTCTGTTTGAATCCCTCCATCACAAGGAATTGCTTGAGGTCTCACTTTCCCAAGCTGTTGCTCGAAAAGTTGTACCACCTTTTCAGCACTAGTGCCCGGCAAAAGTGCCAAGCCATGCTCCAGTCTTTGGATCTTCCGTTTCAGGAAATTGATTTCTGATCCAACACCTTGCAAAACCGATGAACTGATCTTGAATGTCTCAGCGAACTTCGGGAGGAAAGTTTGATTCCAGTAGGCACGGTTGCCACAAAAGAGAATATCATCCACATGAACCATGATACAACAATGTTCATTTCGCGCAAGACAAGGCTGTTCTGGACACCATTCGAAGTTCAAATGCTTTGACAAAAACCCACGTAGGTGCCAATACCAGCTTTTGGCCCCCAAGCGTTGTCCAGGAAGGTTTCTCTTGACAGTGTAAGCCTTCCCAAGCAAAGTCACCAGCATCGGTGATGGCTGGTCAACCATTAAGAACGCATCTTTCACGTCCACAGTGCCCAAGCAAACCTTTGTCTCTGACTTGTCATGCTCTGGAACATCAACCAAGCTTTGTAAGTACAACATCGGCAGAACATTGAGTATGTGGGTACTGGTTGCTGGTGCATATGTATCTGAACGTTTCTCCCAGAATGCAAATTCTCTTGCCACGAGGCGAGACCTGCGTAGCCAAGCCTTCACTGTTGATCCGTCTGGTTGCACTCGATCTTTCAACCTCCAGTCATATACAAACTTTGTTGTGAGGGTATTGGATGCCCCCAACTGCATGTCATTGCCCTCCACCAGGACATTCATGCTGCACAAACGTGAAAGTTCAAGGCGGTCAGCCACTCTGTCAACCCATGCTTCTGGTTCAGGTGGCGGTTGATCAGGTGGTTGATTTGACCAGAGTTCATTGGGAATGCAATCCATGGGAGTATCGTCAGACTCCTCCTCCAACCAAGCATCAACATTCACGTGATCGTCCATGCTCAAGTCGTTGTCATATTCATCCATTGTAAAATGTTCATCATTGGAAAACTTCACACTGCGCACCATTGAAGCATAGTCAGCACTGATTCGATCAAGCCTTTGTTTCTTCGATGCCTCAACCCTTGCTCTTTTGGATTCATGGTCATCAGGCTCGATGTCGTGCTGTCTGGTCGTAGGGTTTGTCCTTGGAGTTGCAGGTACTGCTTGAGAAATTTCAGGCGTTTGTGGCACATCCAATTGTGATCCCACTGCAGCAGAAGAAGGGCCTGAAGATACCATAGCCTGTGGTGCCATTTCCACAGGTGTCTCAGGCTGTTTTTCACCTTCTGCAACATTGTCGTCAAAGATCCCCATTGGGTTTGGAAATTGCATTCGCTTTGGACCATCATCCACTGGTTCACCAGCCTCTGGCACTGTGATTGCCTCGGGCTGCTGCGTTTTGTCACGCACCATCATCTCAGTTAGCTCAATGTCCTCACGGACTTCCTCCAGATGCTTTTGTCTCACTGCTTCAGCATCCTCGTCAAAGAATGCACTTGGTTCCACTTTTCCCGTAGGAGCGGAAAAACTTGCGGTCAATGCTCCCGACTGAGCACGTGTAGGCACTATGCGCCCACCAAAACCAGTTTTGTATTCCCAAGACCAACACCTGAAGTTCATGTAAAAGGGTAGATGCCCTCTCCAAACTGTTGAGATTCTCCTGATGCTTCTCGTGAGAACCAGTTCATGTCCATCGAAAAGAATGTAGGTATCCTGTGGGTCTGTTTTCCCCAAGAAAACCATTCTACGCCATCTCGCAGTTCCCTTTCCAGTCACCTTTGCAAAACCAAAAACAGGCTCTCCAAAATTGCAAATTGCTCCTCCGTACTCCTTCTGATAGAGGATCTCGTAGGGTGTAGCGCCCCTTGTTGGTGTGAAGCGGTTCAGCAAGAAACTGGCATGTCTAAATGCCCAACTCCACCAAGGTGAATTGCTCGAAAATTCAACACCTACTTGTTCTGAAAGAAAATGCATCAATGTCCCAGCCAATGGTCTGATTCTTCCAACTGCGTTTTCCACCAGTGCATTACTGTGGGAGTAAGGCGCTGACGTGTTGTGGCGTGTTGGAAGCCCCATTGACAGACGTGCATTCACAACCATCCGCAAAAGTTGTCTCAAAGTTGGCTCATTGTCGCAGTAAAAGACAATCTCTGAGTGTCCAAGAATTCCAGTGAATCCTAACAGCTCTCTTACCATGAGATTCCATTGATTTTTGCTTCTAAGTGGCACTGAATGCAAATACCCAGTGGCGCTGTCGATCATCACCAAACTGATCATAGTGTCGACATCCTTTTCAGCCATTGTGTCTGGGACTGCTTTCGTGTAGCAAAAATCAAAACTGACTGTGGCAACACCTGCTCTCCTCGCACCATCTGACTTCAACTGCTTGTCTGCTCTCGCTCTGAAACAAACACAACTGCTACACCATGGTGCGTATGGCAAGTGAGTGAGATTGTGCTGCTGGACTTCGGCCTCTGAAGGTGGGACTTTCAAGTCCATTGCCTTTGGAACCCTTGACAACTCTTTCATGGAATGCTCAACTGCAGAGTGAATAACTTCCAGTTCTTGCTGTTTCTGATGATTGAGAAGCCGTGTGAAGCATTTAACTTTTGAACCTGATGTGCTCAAGCTGTGATAAGTGCATCCAGCTTTCAACGCTTTCATAGAACTCTCTGGAGTAAGCTCAACACCATTGACCATGACCAAGTCTGTAGGCGCTGGCTGAAACAGAATTCGTCCCTCCAGTGGCACATCAGCTCCTCCTGAACCTTCAGCTCCATCCTCAATCTCAATTCCGATCACCTCATCTTCTGGTGCAATTGCAACATCAACTGGCTGTTGCCTGTCAGCTTCAGGAAAAAGAGGAGGTTCATCTCCTACAAGCGTAAAACCCATCACCAATGGATCTTGCTCTGAGTCTGTAATCACAGTCAAAAGGTCACGTGGGCCCTCGAATCCATAGATTTCAGCTCCTAGCTCGATCAAACTGTCAAGCTTTTCGCAAAGTTCAAGCACATACCACTCTCCTCTGTCTCGCAACAAGGTGGTTCGATACAAGTTGCCTTCCATCTGAGGTTTGAACAGCGTTGGATCCTGAAAGTGATCCGAGTGGTGTCTTCCAACTCCACAACCTTTGTCATCAAGATTCCACCCTGCTGGACCTAAACGCAAATCAGGAAAGACATCGGCACGAACTGCTCGAACTGCAAATCCTATTGGTTGAGAAACTGAAACATCATCACTTGAGTTGATCGCTCGAACCCAGCCCTTGACTGTGACACTCATGTTTTGAAGTTCTATTGGCACTTTCACTCCAGCTTCATGTGTCAAAACTTGCTCCCTAGAGTCCATGCTCCATCCTGACTGCAGCAAACGGCCAAAACAAAGAATTGGTTGAGTCACATGTGGTGAGATTGCAACTCGCTCCTTGAGGACTACCGTTTTCCCTGATTCATCCAACAGTCGGATTTCCACATCACGCATAGTTTGAATGGGAATAACTTGGCCCTGAGCATCATGCAAACGTGTTGAAAACTCATTGCAACCATCTCCACAACTTGCAACTCCTACAGGAAACACTGCAGCATCGGCTCCTGAGTCAAGTAAAATGCTACACATGTCACCTGCATTGTCTGGCACTTCACTGATGATTGCACGTATTTCACCATCCTGCGCAACTGCATCAACTTCATCAGAATCACCAATGAAAAAGTGAATGGCACGAATGGAACCTGCAGATGATTTGGGACTGTCACGAAGGTCACAAACAAAATGCTCTGACCCTTCAACGCTCGAAATGACTTCTGAAATTCGTGAAACTTTGTACTGAGTCGATTGCTGTGCCTGGTGCTGCTGAGCTCCTTGTTGAACTCCCTGTGCAGAAGCTCCTCCTTGCTGTGAAACACTTGTCAAATTGGTCCATTCCGATTGGCTTGAACCTGCATTGGAAGAAGTAGCTTGCACATTTCGAACAGCATTCCAGCAATCTTTCGCAAAATGTCCAGGTTTATTGCAAACGTAGCAAACCTTGTCAGTTTTGCCACCCTTTCCTTTGCCCTGTGTCTGAGCTGATTTTCCCTTTCCAGAGTTGTTGCCACCTTTGTCATAGGATTTGGTCTTACCCTTATCCTTGCCTTTCTGCTTTGACTTCCCTTTTGCATTGCCTTTGTCGGCTTTACCTTTTCCCTTGTCAGAGTATTTACCCTTTCCTTGGATACGATCCACCTCCATTGGCTTCACCTCAGTTCCAGCATCATCAGTCGCAGAAACCAAGTTTGTCCATTTCTGGTGTGCACGATCCCAACGAAGGATTTCCTCTCGAAGGTCTTGATACTTTGTGTTGTCACGCAAACTCAACGACAAATGGGTCTTCAAAGCCCCTGTAACACAACGTAAAAGCACTGCTGACTTCAGATCATCCCCTAAAGTCGTGCCTGCTCTTCTTGTTTCCTCGAATGCATCCTCCAACCGCAAAAGCTGAGGCTGCAATGGTTTTGACATACTGAAGGACGGCCATGCAGTCACTGATGCAAGTAGGGACAATCCTCTTGCTTGGGTATTAGGTCTCATGGAGAGAACTATCTGGCGCAATGCTTCGAATCCATTGCCCGATGGTGCTGCTTTGACGATTGATAAAGCTCTGTTCTTCACCAACCCTGACAGCAAACCATACAACTTTGCAGACCTCTGACGCACTTCCAAAGGTCCTGAGTCAATGTTCAACTCCTTTGCTGGCTCTTCAGTGATTTGTGAAAGCTGTTCACTGAAGCCCTCATCGATGCAGATGAGGTATTGATTCAACTGCCAAAGCCAATCCCTGAAATGCCGTTGATCTTGCTCTTGATTTGGAAAGTCAAACACAGGTGGTCTATTCACCAACTTGCTCCAGTCAACCTGAAACCTGTTTGAAGCTGATGATGTACCAACTCCACCTCCTGATGCACTTGCAGCTGTAGCTGCAGCTGTCGAACTTGCTGCTACCTGCTGTGCAGCTTGCGCAGCGTTTGCCGCTGCAGACGTAGCCTCCGCAATTTGGAGTAGTGCCGCCTGAAACACTCCAGCATCCACTGTCTGCTGAGCCATGCGTCCAAGCCCTTCCAGAATCAATCTAAAGGTTCACAACGCAATGTACAAGCAAGTGAAGTCTGTGTTAATGTCCACAAAGCAGTCACACCTGTCTTTTTGCAGAAACCAGTGTTGTTACAGAAAATCCGGAAAAGGATCACTCAGCTCAAGTCACGCTTTGCCCCTCGTCGACTGTACCAGTCCTTGCTGACTGTATCAGTCCAGAAAACCCAGCTGTATATGTCCAGTGTTGCAAATAGACCTAAGGCCAGTATGCCCTGAACTTCCAGCTTGCAGTTCCCAGAATTTCTTCTCCACCAATCTCCAGCAAATGGCCTTCAGCCAATCCAGAAAATAGCAGGAGCAAAGTCACAGGTGCTCCGCTACCATGCAAACAAAACGGCGCACGGCGAGCTGTCTTTTTGAACCTGGGCCTCAACAGTCATACACAAGTTTGTGCATGCCACTAATGAAACATGTGGTTTCACGTGTACTGTCGTGATTGTCGTTGAATTGTCCCATTAGTCCACACTTCTCGATTTGTGCTGAGTGTCATCCTTGTGCAGTGGTCATGCAAGGCAAATGGAACTGGTAAGTGCTTACATCAAAGTTTTGCAGAAGGAAAACGCTACAGGAATCAGATTGAGTTTTTCTAGATTCGGGCCGGGCCACAAGACCGTTCTAACAAAGGTTGGAAGTCATGACCCTCGTCCATGGGAGGCAGTTCTCCTGGCCATCGCGTTTCAGGAAATCTCCGTCCACACGCAGCTGTGTCGGCCTTCGTAGCTCCTCGTTTCAGGGGTGGATGCCCATGGAGGTTTCTCCGTTCGCCAAAATTTTGAGTTTCAAATTCTCACTTCCAACTGATTGAAACTGTGAAAGTTGCAAGTTACCATCAAACTGCACAAATCAAAAACTTGTGGAAGAGTACCAAAACCATAGGCCCTGTTACCCCTAAACCGCCTAAATCCATACCAGTGCGATTTTGTAATGATGCTAGTCAGATTAGGAAGAACGGATCATCCATTTTTTTCATGGCGCCACCAAAAAGAAGTTTTCGACACAATTTTGTTTTCATGTACTCAATTCATTGAAACATATTGAAACAACACCCCCTGGATCAATTCATTGAAACATATTGAAAGTATCGTTCCCCTTCCACCGAGGTCTAGCGTCCTGACACTCTTGCGTTTGGCCCGTCTCCGAAGATGGACTCGCTGACATTGCAGGACTCACCAGCTCGGTCAAAGGACTCACCGTTTCCGTCACTGGATTCGCCACAGTCGGACTTCTTGTCTGACTTGCAGAATCTGCCAGGAATGGTTTCGAACTTCGGTGGGACCTAGGGCTGCTGGCATATACCTGCCACTCCACTGCTGGTACCATTTTGTTTACATTGAAACCAAAAATGTCAGTTTTCGTTGGTACGAAGTTTGAACACAGGCACAATCGTCATCACAAAGCAAAAATGAAAACACCACAACTGAGGAAGTGCAAAACATGATAAAAATCTGACTCAACCTCTTTAACCAAAGTGAACCAATGTTGAACCAAGGTTCCTATTTATATTCGAACTGAAGATGTTGCCGACCAGCACGCCAAGGCCTGAATACCATGACCGCTGAACGAAATCACGTTTTCAAGACGACCGTGTCCATACTTTCACATTCCCGACCGTACATTTTTTAAACATATATCACCCATTATCACATCATGTATTCCAAGATTGGGAGTGGGGGAATACGTTTTTTGCCAATTTGCCGGGCACAAAAATTGTTGCACCATATGTCCATTCAAACACCATCAGACTCAACCCACAAAATGGCAAAAATACATTCAACGGAAAAAATCATGCACATTTGAAGCCTCTTCACTTTGGGTGGACATGTGTTTGTCCAACAAAGGAAGTGTTGACCTTCATATCTCAACACTTTGGGTGGATTGACTGCTGAAGTATGTGAAAGACAAGTTGCCAAACGCGCATGTTGAGAATAACAAATACCGCATGGCATTAATGGCGCACTCTTCCCCGACGATTAGAGATCACAAACACAGTGAAAGTTCGCGGCGGTCAATTCCCGCAGCTGTTTTGTGAGCCAAAACGACACAGTCACGGCACACGCATTTTGCATCGCCTTGGATTTTCAGGTATATGATTGCCTTAACGATGTCCAAATAGACTTTGCCAAAAGTCCACCACCATCATTCCGAAACACTCCATGAACAAAACCAAAATTGTGCGTTCAAGGGATGAATGTTTGGTTTCCAGCATGTGGACCCAGCCAGTCCGGAACCATGCTCTACCAGACCGAGAAAAAGAAATGTTATCACCGATATGGTTTGTCACAGCAATGGGCGCGGCACACAACACAACCTGAACCGTGTGGGAAAATCGTGAATTTTTAAGAAACGGTCGAAAGTGGGAAGCAAATAACAGGGACAGAATGCGACTACACGTTGAAAAACAATTGAACAAACACGAACATAAATACCCACAATTACCCACATACAAAGCGTGGCCCACGTACGACATACAAGAAGACACATCCAAAGGGCGTACAGGTGCGTTCAGCAACACATACTGTGTGCATACGTGAAAACATAGATCCAAACATGCAACTGCAGAACAAGCAACCACATATTGACAGACAGATGTATTGTCTATGTCGGCACTACAGTACATTTCAATAGACAACTATGTATGTGTCAAAGCACTGCGACACAATTACGACGGTGGTAGATGTTTACCATGTAAGCAGAACCATACAAACACACATATATCATTGAAGGTGCTATACATCTGTGCAATGGCAGATAACAATATCGCCCATGCAATGGCACTTGTCACTACACGCGGCCTATGGGCACTTCCGGGCAATTTATGCAGTTCCAGGCAATTTTATGCTTGGTGCGAGAATATAGGATGTCGTTTTTTGGGGGGGCCTATCGCTTTACATTGTCCCACCCGGGCAGGCTGGAGGCAAGAATTTCGGGGGGTTGTTAGTGACACAGCTTGGAAACTGCCAAAGCACAAAGTGATCAAAGCATGGCTACAGCACATTTTACTCAACGATGAAAACTCTTGGGCCTGAAAGCGGTCAATGTCACAGGTTTGAATTGCGCATGAGAGACCACAGACATGACAGATGCTGTGCATTGACACTGCTATCAAAGTCTATGAAAATCTGTACTGGTCTCGCTGCTTCTTGAAAGGAAGAAATAGCCGGCCTTTGGCCATCGTGAGCCACCATTCGGCAGACTTCAATTCTTTTGTCAAAATATCTGCTAATTGCAACTCAGTAGGCACCCAGTGGATAGGAGGACGGCAAGGGCGCTCAGGAGTGGGATCTAGATCAGGTCCATGTTCTGAGACAAACTGTTGCTTGGCTTCTCTCATGAGGATCTGTCTCAGCCCTGCCAAATCTACGCAAGACGTTTTTCTGAAGGTGCCTTGGGGGTTCCTTCTCTGTGCAAATGGTCAAACAGGCTCTTACAATCTGTGATGCAATGGAGAGGCGCCTTTTCTCCGCCGCAAACTTCAGAAACCATGCAACCAGAAGCAAAGGAGAGAAAGAGAGATCTGAGATAAACTGCATGTTCTACGGCCTCGCAACAAGCCATGGTCTCACCAGCAAAGGTAGATCGGCATACACGCTGACTTGACTTGCTTCTCCAGTCTATCAAGCTAAAATCATGTTCTTCTCCTTCTAAAACTCTCTTATCACTGACGACGATCACATGTGCCAACTGGGATGCCACGGGATGATCTCCGCTCCAGTTGGAATCGCCGATGTCAGGGTCTTCGGCGCTCACATTAGCCCAGGCTGCGTCATGAAACGCAATGAAAGCTATCTGTTTCTCTGGGATCTTTTTGAGAGTCACGCCGTGATCCTTGTGGTCAAAGGCGATGTCCACCAGTTTGTTGGTCTTTTTGATGTCGTCGGTGGAAGGATCGGACTGCTTACGTTGAGCTTGTGAGACTGCAAACTGCAAGTCGGGGCGCGTCTGTTTTGCTAACCAAGAGAGACTGCCGATGGATGTCCGATTTTCTTCAACTTGTTCACGAGAGACGCTACCATCAGCATTGGTCTTGGCAGTCACTTTGTCGACGCGTCCTTCAACATAAGCCTTTTGAGAGATCTTGATCTCATTGGCAGAGCAGTGGTAGGAGCAACCCACGTACTCAAAACTCCCGCTCTGCCATTCGTCTATGGGAAACTTGTCCTTGATCTCTTTCTGAATAGTTGCTTCCAACCCTGGCTCGACGATCAACATCAAGTCGTCGACATGGGTCAGCAGCAGGCCGACAACAGCTTGAGAGGTTTGCTCGTAGAAGTGGAAAACGCATGGATCAATGGGGTTCTGCTTCACCAAGATCCGTCGACCGCCCACTTCAATCACCATCGCTTGCACATCCTTTGACAGCTTCATCCACCACAGCTTGGGGCTGGTGCTCAGACCGAACACGCCCTTCAGAACCTCCACCAGTTGTCCAGGCTGTAGTGAGGGAATTCCTCCACGAGGCTGTCGAAAATAAAGCTGTCTGGGAGCAGGGACACCATTGAGAAAAGCAGCCCTGATGTCGCCCACGCTGACAGACCAACCTCTAGAGAGACCAAGTTGGAGGGCCAACAAGATGCTGTGACGCGATGTTGTTGGTGCGTCCACAGCCATGTCAAAACGACCAAGATCTGGATCTCGATGTCCTGCTACACAAAGGCGTGCTTTTGGTTTGCAAGGGATGGATGGATCCACTTTGCGCAGAGCATAGTTCTTGTCCTTGTAGGCAAAGCGGGCATTGAGAACTCTTTCAGGAGGTATCGTTGCTTCGATCCGCCTAGACTCTTCCAAGGACAAAGCTCTGACAGCGCCAAATTCCACGTGTTCTTTCCACTGCTTGAGCTCGGCTTCTCGATACAAGTGTCTCTCTTCGTAGGGAATAAGGCCCCACGGGAGCTCTTTCTCAAGTTGTTTCTCCTTGCCCTTCTCGGAAATGCATCGCTTCACCATGAACACTGCCTTGGGAGCTTCTAGTCGGGCTTTCTTCAAAGCTGTGGGCACATCATCCAGAGCTTGCGCTCTTCGTACCGAAGCTCTAATCTGTTGTTCTCGGGAAGCGGCTTCGTCCCAAGCAGAAGGCAAAGGAGAAGAATCTGGAGGCCCCTCGTTCTCAGCTTCCATTTCTATGGGACCAGATTCTTGTTCTTCGGGGGCAGGATCTAAGAAATCCTCATCCACCTCCATCTCTTCATCAGGAAAAGGTTGCTCCATCAGGCTCTTGAGCTCTTTCATAGCGGTCTTGAGGCGCAAGAGCTCAGAGACCTCTTCATGGTGCGCAGTTCTCAGATGCTCAGGGGCGGCAAGAATACATCTGCCGCCGCGAGAAAGCCAAAAATTGTTGCCTTCCCGACCAATCACAATGCCAGGTCCAAGCCAGGTGGATTTGGGTTTCTTTCCCTTTCCTTGCTTAACCTCGCGATAGGCGTAGACCAAATCGCCAGGCTCAAAGTTCTTCTTCTCGACTCTGGGCTTATGATTGGAAGCTCGCTGTAAGGCTTCTTTGGACTGGCAAGCAAAGAAAGCCGCACGAGCGCCAGCTCGGAGAACTTGGCTTCTCTCGAACTTGGCGTCGGGGCTGGCCAAGTCCAACATCTCGGTTTGGCTCTGGTCCATGTCAAAGAGGTCGGCGGGCTGCCGTCCGTTGCTGCCGAACACCCACTGTCGAGGTGAGTATCCGCTGCGGTTTCTGAGCTGATTTTTGGCGTCAGAGACCCATGACATGGCCTCGGGCATCTCTTCGACGAAGACCAAATTGTCTTCGACGAACTTGTTCCATATCATCTTCCAAGCTCCACCATGACGTTCGGCGACGCCGTTCTGCCAGTGTGCCTGGCCAGCTGCAGCCCTCACGACTACACTCTTGTTGTCCATGAGGGCCAGGAACTTATCCTTGAAAGCACTGTCCAGGTCGACAAGGACGAACTTGGGGGCACCAGCCCACTGAATCCACCCAGAGGAAAAGGCCTCAGAAACGTCTTCAGACTTGGTGGACTTCAGGGGAACCACCACTTGATAGGTGGATGCCAGGTCCACCATGTTCAGTGCTGGCTTGTTCTTGGCGTCTGCAGTGTCCAGCCACACAATGTCAGCCGCAACCGCTTCGTTGAAGTCCAAGGCGACCACAGGCGCGCTCACTTTGTGAAGTGGGGCACGACCGGATCGGGCACAAGTGTTGCAGGTCATCTGCTCGGCAGCCCTCAAGATGTTCTCACCCGCACCAGCGATTCTAAGATGTTTGATGAGATCTCGGTTTGAAGGATGACCGAGATTTTGATGTACCCTCTTCAGGACGCTTGCTATCTCAGGACTCACCTTGCCCTTGAAGGAAATTGCTTTGGCACCATGAGGTTCCTCCACGTCATCCGGCTTCCTTTCGACAGCCGAAGGGGAAGAAGGCTTGTCTTCGACAGAAGAGGGAGCCTCGGCTGTCATCACACTGTGGGCATGTGAGCAAGACTTGTTGTAGGCATGGAAAACCGCCGTGGCAAAGCCCGTTGGATATGTCGCTGAGTGGGCCGTTTCAGCTCCTTGAATTGTTCGATGATCATGGTCACCGGTGCACACCTTCTGAACGTTCTCGTTGAAAGCCGCAGAGTTGGTGAGAAGGGACACCGGCTTCTTCAACAATGCTTCACCATCTAAGCTCTTCATACCATAGCTGCAGAGGTCTGCTCGGGCAAAACTCATGCCTGAGCCAATCATGTCTTGAAGAACGTCGGTTCTCCAGAGGTCGCTGTTGGCAGGGTTCTCGATCACTACCAGACCGCCAAGCTTCCGCTGGAGGCAAACCACGGAGTCGACGAAGCGCACAAGCTCCATCTCTTTCTTTCGAAGCCTTCGCAACTGTTGTTGGTTGTAGTTGAGGCGGCTAAATCCACACCACAAGGTGCAAGGAGGAGCCATCCAAATCAGTCCAGGTTCGTGCTGACTGATCTCTTTCAATACTTGCTCCTGAGTGGATCTGTCCCTCAGGTCGTGGCCAAACTTGATGTCGCGGGGCTGCAAGACGCCGCGGCCCCTCTTGGCAAAGCCCTCAGAGATGCGGGCCCTACCAGCAAAAAGTTCCAGGCAATCGACTTCGCGCTGCCCATCGCTCTTGCAGTATGCCATGAAGGGCTTGAAGACCTCAAAAGTGTCCTCCAAAGGACCAGTCACAATTTCCTGGGTGAGGCTTGCAGCCGCCACAGTGCAAGCCATGAGGACTGAGGCCAAATTGACCATCCCACGCTTGATCTTCTTGAAGTTGGACTCATTCATCCGCTTGCGACGACGGATACCGCGTCGTGCTCTCTCCCGGAGCTCTTCAGGTGTTCCCAAAGCCTTGGGATTCATAGTCTTTGAGTAATAGATCTTGTCCGGGACAAAGGGCTCTTCATTCAAAAAGTCCCCAGCATCAGACGCGCTGCCGCTAACGAGTTCGTACTCATACGCAGGCACCTTGATGGAGTCATCCAGACCCTTATACTTGGAAACCTGCGCATCCACTTGAACTGCCGCATACTTTGGGACCTTGACAATTCTCAGGGACCCCAAAGGACTCAAAAGCATCCTTGAATTCAACAACCGCCTCATACGCAGACTTGTCTGGGCCCTCCGCACCCAGGTCATCTGTGGTGTCGTAGAAGATGTCAGGGACATTCAAGATTCCGTCTCGTCCCCGTCCACTATCATAACAGATTCCCTCTTCTTCTGACGGGCCTGGAGCATTTCCAGACGGCTCTGCAAAAGGTTGATCTCCTCTTCCTCCGACATCTGTCAACGGACTGGGGTCCCCTTGGAGCGAGTCGTGCTCACCTGAGACCAAGAGGCATCGCTCCCCGAAGGCCCATCGACATGTCCTTGACCGAGGGCGGAGGAATCTTGGCCAACGCCTCGGGGTCCGTTGCAAGGGACCTGGTCTTGCTGAGGACTGTCTTGCCCTTGGTCTTCTCGCTCTTTGCCCAAGATGCCAGACGTTGAAGGTCCATGGACGAGTTGGGGTTGCCCTCCACCTCCGCCATGGCCCATTCGAGATACGGAGCCGGTATCTCGCGGTACATCCAGCCCTTGAACTTGCCGAACGGGACCACTGTGTCCGCCGGAGTGTTGCTCGCATCTCTGATAGCCCTCATGAGCCATCCCCTGGTCGGCTTGTCCGGCATGGTAATCCCCTGGGCCGTGGCTTTCTTGACCAACTCGTCGAGGGAGCACTTGGACAGACCCTGGAGAGCTTCGCTGGTCTCCACCTTGGGCTTCTCCTGTTGACGGATCTCCACCACCATCTGTCGAAGCTCGGGAACCAGCCAAGAAGGGTGAAAAGGTACCCCCCGGCGATTCAGTTCCTCCACGAGCTGAGACTTGTTCATTTTCCAAGGCGACAGGAGCTGCGGCATCGAAGTCTTTGGGCTGCGGCATGCCTCGGACATGGGGTCCAACAGTGGACGGCTTGGTCGGGCGGTCGCCAGTCTTGAGCTTCGAAAAGCGGCTCCGACCAACCCACTGTTGTGCAGCCCACGGAAAAAACTTGCTTGACATCTCATCACTGTGGACATGCTTCAAAGTTCCTTCTCCTAGACAAACAACTGCTTCAGTGATTCTCCTACCATCCAACATGTTGAGAAGAGCAGAGCGGAGAGAGGAGTCTGATGTTTTCCAGGCTGAAGGATCAAAAGGAAACTGCCGAGGGACAACGTGCACTCTGATCATTTCGTCTTTCGTTTCGATCCAAAAATCATTGCTTTGTTTTGCGTTTCTCCACCATGTGAAAAATGAAACTCCACTCAAACCATTGCAATCACTGAGCATGTTGTGAACTTCAAGGGGGATCTTCTTGGGGTAGAAAAGTAGATTACCCTTTGAGATAGACAAACTTGATAATGTTGAAGGAGAAGAAGTGATAGTCGAAGATGCCCCAGATACTGAAACGCATGCTGATGCAGCCGCAACATCCGCACTCATGTAAACCTCACAAGCGGCCATCCAGATCTCATCGTTCGGAGAGCCCTCAAAAACAGGAGGAGGCTCTTCGGGAAAGTGAGACACAGCCAGAGCCGGATGGCCCGTTTCGCTATTCTGTACCTTCAAATCAGTGATTCCTCTGTTCCTCTGACTCGAGCCAACGGGGAAGCGTGGAGCGAAGCTCACCAAGAAACGCGAAACACGCGACAAAAGCCTACGCGAAACAGAAACCAAAACTGAAAACATCCTACCAACAAAACCACAACCAAAACCCAAAAGGGGAAAAACGAAATGAGGCGATCCACATGTCTGCAAACCGAAACTTGATCTGAAATCACTCGCACGGTCAAATCCTTTTTCAACAGTGGATCGCACTCAAGCCATCCTGTAGCACTCCCAAAGGTCGCTGAGACCCAAACCTATCAACTCTCACATCCAAATGGTTCGGACATCTGGAAAACGTTCATTCCTCGATCCAAAGTCCCAAGTCGAGGACAAATGGCTCCCCAGCAAGTTAGTAGGTCTCCAAGACAACAGTAGCAGCTGGATCCAATGGGATCTCGCACATATCCATGGTAGCTTCTACCAACAGTAGAGCGTCAGTGAGTGCATGAGATAAATCCTTATGCACTTCCACATCATATTCTGTCCAAATCCACTCATTGAGCGTCTTCAATGCATAGTATCCGGGCAATAATAAAGGCCGGAAACGTTCCCATTCTTTCGTTGCCAAGCGGGAGAAGGGTAACCATTTCGCTGGAGTCACCAGTGAATTGGAAGTTTGAACGGGATAACCCGGAAAGAAGTGAGCCTCCATTTCGCTCAGTGCCAGAATGGCGGATTTCCAAATCAGGTAAAGGGATTCCAATGAAGGAGTGGTGCCCAAGAATTGCAAAATGGCCTGTAGCAGGGCCACAATCTCTTCCATACGTCCAATTTTGTCAGAAGATGAATCTAAGTCAAATTCCATAAAGCGTAGCATCATAGACATAAGTGCCACTTCACGCACGATATCTGCTTCTGACCTGTGCATTGGCATTGAAATTGTCTCCAACCTTGGCACGAATAAGGGTGGGAAACGAAGTTGAAAGGGCGGGTAACCCAAATTTTCTGAGCCAGATTCTCAGACAACGTTGGAATTAAACGAAGTGCAAACTTGAAATCACGAAAACATCACATCAACTCTGAGAAAAAACCAAATAAAACAGTGCCAAACAAACTGACGTAAATTCCTCCAAAAAGGGAGGCAAAATAACCAAGCGACAAAGTCAGTCGAGGGTCTCAAGAAATCCATGCCCAGAAACCAAAAGACGCGAGGAGAGAGAAGCGACGCGGGCGCGAGCGAACCAGCAAGGGAGAAAAACCCCAGGAGACGAAGACAGGAGACAAGAAGGAGGTGAGGCAAACCCCACAGCCAGCAACCCCGACCCGGACAGTGCAGCGGGGCAAAGCCACAGCAAGGCAAGAGCCACCAACAACCCCACCACCAGCCCAGGCACGAGTGCCACCGGAACAGTCAACTAGGTAAACCTAGCAAGCCTGTTCCTCTGACTCGAGCCAACGGGGAAGCGTGGAGCGAAGCTCACCAAGAAACGCGAAACCCGCGACAAAAGCCTACGCGAAACAGAAACCAAAACTGAAAACATCCTACCAACAAAACCACAACCAAAACCCAAAAGGGGAAAAACGAAATGAGGCGATCCACATGTCTGCAAACTGAAACTTGATCTGAAATCACTCGCACGGTCAAATCCTTTTTCAACAGTGGATCGCACTCAAGCCATCCTGTAGCACTCCCAAAGGTCGCTGAGACCCAAACCTATCAACTCTCACATCCAAATGGTTCGGACATCTGGAAAACGTTCATTCCTCGATCCAAAGTCCCAAGTCGAGGACAAATGGCTCCCCAACGTAGCGAGACGCCGGGGCTGACTCTGAAGCACTGAAATGGGAGTGCTACACTGAAACTGAAGCTGAAGCTGAATTGGAAAAGGTATGAAAAGTAATTCCTCCATCTACCAGTCAGATTTCTCAAATTTGCCCAGGTTCACAATCTGTGCCGTGGACCTCAGCATGTCCTTGTCCAGGTAGCCTTCGCGTTCGTTCCAGAGACGAGTGATGAGGTGAAATTGAAAATCTCCCCATTCGCAAACCAAACGCTTCTTCAGGTCAACACCTGTAAAATCTTCATTCGTCAAAGCATCTGCCAAGGTATTCTCGCCCCTAGGGCGCCACCGCAAATCCACGCAAACATTCTTTGCCATCAAAAATTCAGTCAGCTGCATGTAGATGACACACAGCGGCCATTTGGTTGTAAGTCCCTTCCGGAGGAGGAACTGGTTAGCCAGGTTATCTGTACCCGCAGTGAGAACCAAAGGCACAACATGCCCAGGGCTACCTGTCTCCAGAAATCCAAACAAAACCAAAGCAACCAATACCGCAAGAAGCTCTGCGGACGTTGACGCCCATTGTGTCTCCCCATCCCTTTTGAACAGGTAAGGGACTTCCTTCTCTGTAAGAGTGATGGAAAACCACTGACCCGTTTGAAGATGATGTCCACCCAGCACGACTTTGCCCTTGGCGCATTTGGCGTCAGTCCTAAAGACTTCCTGTGGCAGAACCGTAGGGCGGCTACATGAATGCATGTAGGTACAGTCCTTCAGCTGCAACTGCAAGAATCTCAAAACTAACATCACCAGCTTGGGACACTTGGCAACTGTACCCCGGTCGAGCGCTGCGCTCCAAGAATAAAGAGGGGCCAGGAAAGGTTTCAACCAGAGCAATACCCTAGAGACGAAACCAAGGCGGCCCAGAAACTCATTGAACCTTCTCATGTAAATCGTTCCCTTTGAAGCAAACATCTCATCGATGAAAGAAACCAACCAAGCTCCCCTCCGTTGGGTAATGCCCAAACGGCAGGCACGGTAATCCAGCAAATACCCCACGAAGCAGACTTGGAGGCCGCCTGAAAACTTTGCATATGAGAAGGGTGTGCCCAATATCTCATACAGTGCCAAGGCCGTCCACAAAACAAGAAACTTGCGTGGCCCCAGGCAGGTGAGATGCAAGTCATCAACGTAAACCAATTGAAACCAATTCTCCTGTCCCAGGATGTAGGCAACCAGTCGTCCAATCCCAGCGAAGAGGCGTGTCCACCAGTAACTTGCCGATGATACCCCAAATGTCCCGACGGTGTTGATCCAGATGGTCTTATCGTCGTCATGAGCCCTACACCCCAACAAGGGCCAATCCTCTTCTCGGATCTTCACCAGGCGGTGTGCCGCTTTGATATCTGCCGACATCGCAAAAAGAGATTCTTTGTCATCTTCCACCAAACGGATCATGGCAGCAGCATCCTCAGGTCCAGGGTATTGCAACTGGTCCTGGAAGCAAATATTGTTATTAAGCTGGACGAAATGGGTACCGTCATGCAACGGTCTGACATCACCATTCGGTTTCTTGATGGCCCCCATTGCTGCCACCAAAGGGGTTCGCTCAGGGTGTTTTGATTGCAAAGCTGATAAGGTGGTTGGGATCATCCTCCCCAAAGCCTCTTCTTCCCTGAACTTCTTTTCCAGCTCTTCCGACATCTCTCGGGCCGAGCGGTAGTTGCAAGCCAAATTATTGTACTCCGACTCATCCAACGGTCTCACCTTCTCATTTCGAGGAAAGACATCCGGAGTTCTCGGGAGGGGCTCATCGTAACCCACTGGGACCCCAGTCCAAAAAGAATCCTTACCATGCATAAAAATCTTGTAATCTGGATCTTCCACCTTCTCCAAAGACTGCGAAATCATACCCAGCAAGAAAGGTTGGCGCTCAGGGATCTCCAGGGACTTTGACCTGGAGGGCAGCAACGAAGCCCATTCTTTCCTCAAATCGTCCAGATCCTGTTCCGAAAAGGGTGAAGTCTCGATCTTCCCTAGGCCCAGTTTGAAAGCTGCCAACCGCAAGTCTCCAAGCCTTTCCGTGACAAACTTCGAAACCATTCCAAAAATTGATTTGCAAAATTCTTGACCTCCTGCGCAAATATGTGCTCCTCGGTCAGCTGGGTTCCACAATGTCGGCGAACAAAGACCAAAGCCGTCCACCAGTGGTTTGCGTCTGCCAGCCCAGTCCATCTCCATAGGCTGCCCCCTGTGAAGTTCCGACCCTCCATTGCTTTCCAAGTGATTAGGCTCAGCTGTGGTTTCCTGCTCTGGTTTGTCAGTTTCATTAGCGGTCATCTCACGCACTGAGCTTGAAGCCTGTGCAGACGGCTTCGGCGTGTCCGGCAAAGTTGGGGTTGTTGATTCTGATTCTTGCTCCCTGCTGGCCTCAGAGTTCGTGACCCCCATTCGTGAGACGACGAGGGCAGCTAACCATTTGCAGAGACCTGGTGGATAGGCAGCTGCTGCCGCTGTTTTCCATTTACCTTTTTCTTTTCCAATCAGTTTCTGGACATGAAAAGTGTGGGTACATGAGGCCGGCAATGGTCCCATGTATCGTCTGTCTGAGTCAAGTTGTGGCAGCCCCTGGTGTGGAAATTGTTTGGCACCGTGCAAAGAGGTCATAAAACGTGTTGGTTTGGGAGACATTGCCCCAAAATGACATTGAAAAATTGCAAATGTAATAACGTCAAACTCTTCCACCAGCTGTCTTGTTTCGGCCAATTGCCATACACTTGCTGGATGCTCTCCCAAATTGGTGACACCTAAGTCTTCGGGATGCTCGAAAAGAAAATCAGTTGCATTGGTGATGCACTTGTGAATAGTTTTGAAGCACTGATTCAGGAGAAAATTGTGGTCTTGAATCAAGTCCCAATTGCTTCCAGTCAGCCAAGGGAAGCCCCATGGATGCATCACGTTCCTCAAGGGGGGCGGCCCAGGGGCCCCCAAAGCGCGGCAACGTGCTCTTGAGAAGGTATTGCAAGGTGGTGTGAGGATCACCACATCCCAAAATTTATTTTCAATCTCATTCCAAATTTGTTCCCAGAGAGACATTTGCAACAAATCGTCAGCTTCTGAACGTTCAATGTCCACTTCCTTTATTGACAAGTCAAAACCGAGAGTGCCACACTGTACATGCAAAAAATGATTGATGTCAGCTTTCCGCTGTTGGCCACAAAACAAATACAGCACACGGAGTTTACGCTGACATGGATGCTGCTGTGGCTCCGCCTGTCACTCAGGCTTCTTACCTGAGCTTGACATTTTATGGTGTTCACGTGCTGCATGGTCACCGTAGCAACCTTTGACTCTGCACACATGTACTCTTCCGCACTTTCCTGCACAGCCTTGGCTGTTGTATGCGAAGCATATGTCGCGGCCATCAGGGGTTTGCGACACCAGGCTTAAATCTCCATGTTTGCCCTTGTTGTAGGATTTCCCCCCTTTGTTGCCGGACTTTCCAAATTGCTTACCCTTTCCTTTTCCTTTGCCCTTGTAATTGCCCTCTTGGTGGCCCTTTGAATTGTACTTTGCAAATTTCTGTGGTGTCTCCGTCGTGGTCAGGGCTAAAGGTGTGGTGAAGAAGGCTTCTTTCAGGTCTGGGTCCTTCGTCACACGTGTCAGAGCTTCAGCCAAAGTGGCCTCTGCACGATTCACCAGTTTCATCGCTTCTCTGCGCAGTCTATGCTCATATTGCAGCACCAATGCCCAGTTGGGCTTGACTGCCTGTTGACCATTGTCCACTGGGACCTTGATTGCGTTGACCCGATCCCCAAGAATAAAATCGACAAACTTGAGGAAATGTTCCATCTTCAATCCTGCCAGCCAGTGCTTTGCCTTAAACTTCGATGCCATACACAGCCAAGTGACTGCTTCCAACTTCATCGCTTGTCGGTACTCTTCTGTGTTCGAAGGAAGTGAACCCTTCGTTTTCGTCTTGACCACTCGCACATGGCCCGATGTGTCCAGTGAAGTCTGCAGGGAGGCTGTGTTCTTATGGGCTTTGCTTGTGATTTCATCCAAGGAGGCTGCTGTAACTTCTCCATTTTCACACTCTTCAACCTTCAAGGCCAAATATTCACTGGAAGGCACATCATGCTCTGAAAGAGTTCCCAGAGTAGTTTCGACCGCACGAAGCATAGCTAACCTTTCGCTATGTTGAAGGGATCTCGGTAATCCCATCACCTTGCTTTCGGCCTGAAGTTCATTTTCTTTTTCATAGAGTTGTCTCCCTGCTGTCCATGCTGAAATGATTCTGGCGACTTCTGCTCTCTGCCCAGCTCCTTGTGCTGCATCAAGCTGATAGTCTGTTTTGAGTGCTTCTCGAAGCTCTGTTGAACTCTCGGCCAGTGCCACAAACACCCGCAGATTTTTGTAGTGCTGCCCCAACCTATGTTGAAGATCTAAACTCACTTCTGAGTCGTCCCACATATACTGAAGGTCAGCAGTGACATTCTTTTGCAGGTATTCGCGTCTCTGAACATCATCGAGAGCCATTGCCGCGTTTGCGGGAAAACTGGTCAAAAACCCACAGGCCAAGTGAATGCCGCATTGCAAAACCAAACAGAGTGAAAACTTTCATTGACAAAAATCTCAAAAGAGCCAGGTGAACAACAGCCAAGTTGATGAACACTGAGTTGAAAACCACTGCAAAGAACTGACACTGACAGAGGCCTAAGGTTGTGGCCCTGAATGAGCCGCTCAAAATGAGCCGTGCTGCGGATGGTCTCCCAGCTGGTTTCTGAAACTGAATGAGGCTGAATCTCAACTTGGCTGACGTTGAGAAACTTCGCTGAATCTGAAACTGAAAAGGCAACATCCCTACCACTGAAGCTAAATAACATGACATGCAACGAAATGTTTAACTCTCCAACCAAAGCAGCGTCAGCAATTCCTTTTATGTCTAATCGTTTGCATTGTCTGCCTCTTCACCCACCTCTGTGGAGGATGAATCTCCAGAGGTACTGCTCGAATCTGAATCGGCTCCGCCCTGATCAACCTTCAAACGGCGCTTGCAAATGGCACACATTGCATCAAATGTTTCTTCATCCACTCTCTCCACATCATATGTCTCCAAACATCGTTGCGTCCTGACTGGGCACTTGAAGTAGGCATGCAAACGCCTCACTCCTGTCCTTCTGGAAACTGTCACAAAATACTTTGCCTGCGAACCTTGTGGCTGAAGGGCCTGAAAATGGTCTTCTGAGGCCACTGGCAAATCTACATCTGGCTCCTCAGCTCCCGACTCACCTTCATCGAAAGGTCCCTGCTGCAAGTCCCGGTGGAGCTGCTGGGCATGACGCCGGCGGATGCGATGGCCCACCGTGTTGTGTTCATCTGAGAATTTTGACAATTCATCCAACAATTCTGACTCATCAATGCAAGCAGTCCCATTGACCAATGAGCTCGCGACCTGGTGTTGAACCTCTTCGACGACTTGACGCGCCGTATGAATGTAGGCATTACTGCCCGACTTCCCAATTGACCACCTTCCTAGAAAATCTCTCCTCTCTTTGCTGATGTTTAAGGCCAGGGCCGCTTGGTTCAGGAAATGGCGGGGGCTGTGACCTGTCCAGAAAAGTAAAACATCACCTGGCGCCAGGAGCATGCTCATGTTCGCACGCCAATGACCATCTTGGAACCTCGGGGTACCAAGCCTGCCCAAAACGATACGAATTGAATTGGACAAACTCGGAGGTTCTACAATCTTCGGCACAAAACCATCGAAGGCTGCATTTGGTGCGGGAACCAAGTAATCCCTTTTGTATTGAAAACTCTCATGTGAGGTAAGTTCCAAACCAGTCCCAAGCCAGTCGTAGCCACTCAAGGTAACATCTCGCCTCACAAAGACCGCTACCTGTCCATGAAGTTTGCCCGGACCTGTTGTTTTTGTACGACTCAGACTCAACCTGCAGCTGAATCCCCTTTTTGACAACTTCATGGTTTCTGGCAACATGTTTTGTACATCGTCCAATCTCATTGCAGTCCATCATTGCAGTCCAACATGCAATCAAAGCCACCCATGCAATGAATCGAAAATAAAGCTCTTGTTCCAAGTCCAAAACGAAAATCTCCAAGGAAAGCAACATGGCAGTTGCGTACGGCTTTGCACTCCTAGGTGGCCTAGACTCAAGCTCTAGCTCCAACTTCCAGCTCGCCACATGGCCCAACCAAACTGGGTCATTTGACAACCTCTTGTCCTCTGGCACCTTCCCCAGTTGCTCCAAAATGGTGAACGACGCATGAAACTCACTGACACAAGAAAAACTGCAGCCATCTTGAATCTTCTCTTCCACATATGCAATCAAGGGTGTTAAGGTCTTAGGCCAGACCGTACCTGACAGAGCCAAAAGCCAATCTCGGAACTTGTTCCATGAACGCAGGCGATTCCAAAGCGTCTTTGACCGCCTCGATCCAAAGATTCTTATCCAAGCCTTCCCAGGGTCCTGGAGCATCTCCACTTGGAAAACAATAGGAAGGCATGCCTCTTTCAATATCTCTGCTAATTGGAGCGCATACACATTGCGTTGCTCACGTTCAACATCTGCCCTCTGCGTTCCACTAGTCTCTCTCTTTCTCTTCCAACGACGTTTGGCAATGTCCAAAATATAAGCGGGATTCTCTCTCACAATGTCTTCAAACTCTTCTTGCAAACTGCGTCCAAACTGCTCACCAGGATGCCTAATGAATTCAAAACTGAGGTTGCATCGACGTGTCTGTTCACGTTTTGAATGGCTTTGCATGCTGTCCCTCCAAGACATGAGGCGCCTGACCCCTTCTGCCGCCAAGTCTGCACCTCCCTCACTACCAAAAACCTCTCTAACGAGACTGTAGGCATCCTCTTCATTTTCAAACGCGTGAAAGAAAATCCGAGGCTCTTTGTAATGCTTTACCAGATGTTCAGTAAAACGTGGTCCAAGAGCATTAAGCTCAGTCCAGTCCATGGGTTGCCAACTTGCGTCCCGTTTGGGATAGTTCAGCGCCCCCTACATAACCCAAATTTTCTGAGCCAGATTCTCAGACAACGATGGAATTAAACGAAGTGCAAACTTGAAATCACGAAAACATCACATCAACTCTGAGAAAAAACCAAATAAAACAGTGCCAAACAAACTGACGTAAATTCCTCCAAAAAGGGAGGCAAAATAACCAAGCGACAAAGTCAGTCGAGGGTCTCAAGAAATCCATGCCCAGAAACCAAAGGACGCGAGGAGAGAGAAGCGACGCGGGCGCGAGCGAACCAGCAAGGGAGAAAAACCCCAGGAGACGAAGACAGGAGACAAGAAGGAGGTGAGGCAAACCCCACAGCCAGCAACCCCGACCCGGGCAGTGCAGCGGGGCAAAGCCACAGCAAGGCAAGAGCCACCAACAACCCCACCACCAGCCCAGGCACGAGTGCCACCGGAACAGTCAACTAGGTAAACCTAGCAAGCAAAGCAGGAAGAGACACTGTTCCGGAAGCAAGGTCATACTTCATACCAAGCTTGGTCAAAACCGGTTTGCTAAAAAGCAAAGGAACATCACAAGGGACTATGGCTACCTTCACAGCAAACCACTGTCCGCAAATGGCAAACCACCCTCTCACTGCCAAGTGTGACACGAACACCTTGGAAGCTCCGAACTTGAAGCTGTCCTTCTCTTCGAGGATCTGGAAAGGAATCTCCAGCGCATCTGCTGTCTTGTAGAACTTCTCAAACCAAGGATAGCCTGCCACCGACTTGGTGCAGGCCGTGTCAACTATGGCGAGAAACTCATCACCTCGACCATGTTCAAGCTCTCCAGCAGTCGTCGCAAAGCAGGTGTTCACCACAGCATGGCATTCATGAAGACGGCTAGAGGTGAAGTGCACCTGCTTCTCATCCGGGGCAGAGGCATTCTTTGCACCTTGTCGCAGGGGGCAAATCTCATCCTTGTGCCAGTGTCCTCTGCGCTTGCACGCCGAGCAGTAGCTGCGAGCCTTAGCTAGGCGCAGCCGTTCCTCAGCACGCTGCTTCAAGGCATCGGAGTCGAGGCCACGGCCCTTCACAGTCTCCTTGTAGCGAGCTTTGGCTCCTTGATAGGCCATGTAGGCCGAGTGATGTTCTTGGGCGACTTGCTCGTCGACCAACTCTATGTTCTCATCGTCATTGGGCTCATTCTCTTCATCACTGGTGCCGCCATCATCCTGCACGGCGGTCATGTGCACCGATTGCTTCCAGCGGCTGCCTTTCCACCCCTTGTCGTTGGGGGCACTGTTGCTCCCACCAAAACCATGCCGAAGGGTTCGGTCCTGAATCATCGCCGCTTGCTGCAAACGGCGGCAATCATATTCGTTGTTGCAGCTCGCCAACAAAGCAAGCTCTTCTGCCTCGCTCAGCCGGAGCTTGTCCACGTAGAGCCAGGCTTTCACCAAGGGGGGCAACTCGCATCTGACCTCATGCAGACGCAGCACCATTCTCTCAAAGTCTACGTTGAACTCACGGACTGATTGTTCTGGACGTTTCTTGCATCTCCTGAACAAGTCATTCATCATTTGAGAAATCTTCGACACCTCAACTTCCATGAATCTAGTCTGGATCCACTCCAGAAAGTAGTCAACCCCGCTAGGGGAGCCGAGGATGTCCATGTCAAGCTCCTCGGCGTACACCCAGGCCCTGTCAGAGAGGTTGCTATAAAGAGCAAGCGCCCTCTGGCTGGGCGGCAAACGAGTGCACCGCAACCAAACTTGCACTTTTCTCACATACGATCTGGCCGATTTTCCGACCTCAGAGTCGTTGGCACCATCCCCACCGAACTCAGGAACAGAGATCTTTTCGGTGGGCTTCAAGTCGCGCCCTCCGTCCATCTCATGCATCAGCCACTCCCGGTCGCGCCTGGCCTCATCGTAGGATCCAGCCCACTTGCCGTTGTTCATGGCCGTGGAGTTGCGCAACTCCCCATCGGACAACCACCCGTTGCTATTGCGTCGGCTCTAAGATGAATCATATCCCGAACCAGATTCATTTCTAGGGGGCCTATAAACACCAAAAGAACCAGGAAGATGCCCTTCACGTCTAGGGGGAGGATGCCCTTCAAATTCTCTATGACGTAGGATCCACTCAGTCCAGGGGTCAGGAGGCATGGGGTCTTCAGCACTATTGGAGTTCTCTTCTTCAGGCATGCTAGGTCTAGTGGTAGCAGGATCTGAGCTTTCATGACCCTCTCCCCCACCAGCAGGCTCGCCCGGATCATCAGTCCTTGCCGCAGTCTGCCATGCCCTGCGGCTAGCAGCCATCCCGTAGATCTCACCAGCTGCTCCGCGCCACCAATGTTAGTGACACAGCTTGGAAACTGCCAAAGCACAAAGTGATCAAAGCATGGCTACAGCACATTTTACTCAACGATGAAAACTCTTGGGCCTGAAAGCGGCCAATGTCACAGGTTTGAATTGCGCATGAGAGACCACAGACATGACAGATGCTGTGCATTGACAGGGGTAACGACCTATAGTACTGATACGGCAAACACAATTTGCCTGTACTCCAGTAAAACGGTTTCCCTTGGCGTCCCTTGTGGCATTTTCCCTGAACATCTCCTTTTCGTGTCTCATTTCCTTTCCATCCTTTTCTCTCAACACTGTTTTCTCTTCATTTTGCCTCTAATTTTTTTTTTGAAATAAAAAAGGCAATGGACGGCGCAGTGAATTTGCTGTTTTCATGCGTGGCGCAGGTCTTTGAATGATTTTCGGTTTGTAATTTTTGTCCTCAATAAATGGCACAATCACATCCGCTTTCAACATCATCAGTTCATGAACGACTAAAATCACAATATTTGTTTATGTGAATTCAATAGTCTGGGTGGTTCCTCCACCTCTTGCGAAAAAGAATCAGTGCATTTTATTTTTTTGGGATTTGGGACAATGTTAGGCAGCACGTCACAGCTGGGGTATCACACGTTTTGCTACCATTAAGGTTTGGCACCCCTCCTCAAATCTGCCTACGGGAGGGTGATTTGCCACTGCAACTTTTGCCTGGGATTCAAGCGCTTCAGGATATGAACAGATACTACACCTGCTATGTCACATGGCATGAATGATCCATGATGCAAATGAAATATGATGCAAAACAGCGTCAAATGGAAACACCCCGCCTTGCGGTCCACTTTAGTCTGACAGCATCAAAAGTTGATTGGAAATCTTCAACAAAATCCAAAAATTCTAAGTGGCCAAACGATGCCGCAGGGACGTGATTTCACGTGCCTCTACATGGCTGGGTTCTTCTAGAACCTCTGTTGGCTTCAGTTTTCGGCAACACGCACAGGCTAACTGCAGAAAACTACGTGTCCTCGGTGTCGCTGTCAGTTGGGGCTTCTGAGACTCGTTGGCTTCTGTTGTACATGAAAGTCAACATAGCCTCTGGGCTCCACACTGAACCGCTCTCTGGAAAATCGCTTTCGTCATGACCGGCATTCCAAGGGGATTTGCATCCTCCAAATTTGTAAGCCAGAAGAAGGATGACTGGCGTTTGCTGCAGCAATAGCAGCTCAATCTGAGACATTGTGATAAGCCCACCGGCAGTCTGTCAGCGACACAAGAGTGCCGTGATACCAACTGAGCCACGAGGACGACTCTAGTGGCCCTGCAGAGCCATGGATGCATCTGCAGAAAAAACATTTTGCCTAACAGCCCAAGGAAGCAGCCTGTTGGTGATGAACAACCTGTCACCCCAGGACCCCAAGGGATGATCTCATGGATGCTGCTGGTGAAAGAGCGCCAAAGACTCCGAGACTTGAAGATTCTCCAGATCAACAACGCATACTTCAAGTTACCAGCACTGACTTGGAGCTCCATGCGCATGAAGATTCACCGGTGAAATTTGAATTCATGATGATTATGTGGATCACATGGAAAAGATGAGCTGGATTCTATGATGAGCAGTTTCTTCATATGGACGATTCAGGTTCAATTGGAGATGACGAGATGGCTAAGATCATTGAGCAACTTAAGCTTTTGCGGCTTGATGCATTGACAGATCAACTTGAGCCTCAAAAATAGGAACGCTTGCAAGTTCTACAAACCCCTGATGTTGCCAGCCAACTCAAAAGTGCTGAGCACACGCTTTGTGCGCATATGGCGTGAAAAACACAATGCGAAGGGCGAAACTATTTGGTTGAGGAGATCGTTACCTGTGAGTTGAAGGGGGCTTGAGAAGGGCTTCAAGGGGGCTTCAGAAGGGCTTCAAGGGGGCTTCAAGGGGGCTTGAGAAGGGTTTCAATGGGGCTTCAAGGTGAAGGGGGCTTCAAGCGGGGCTTGAAGGGGGCTTCAGAAGGGTTTCAGGGGCTTGAGAAGGGCTTGAAGGGGGTTCAAGGTGAAGAGGGTTCAAGGCGGGTTGGTGGGGGCTTCAGAAGGGTTCAAGGGGGCTTCGGAAAGGTTTGAAGGGGGTTTGAGCAAGGTTCGAAAGGTGCTTGAGAAAGGCTTTTGAGAGGGTTGCGCCGCCTGATCACTTGCGCCTCAAACCGATCACTTGCGCCTCCAATAGCGCCCCCCAGCCTACTCACTTGCGCCCCCCTCCCTGCCTTCCACAAAGCCATGCTCTAAATTCTGAATTTTTACCCCCCTTGCCTTCCACAATGCCATGATCTAAATTCTGAATTTTTATTTAAACTTCCCCTCCCCCTTGCCTTCCACAATGCCACGATCCAAAATCGAATTCATTATTTAAACTTCCCCCCCTTGCCTTCCACAGTGCCATGATCTGAAATCGAACTCTTCATTTAAACTTCCCCCCCTTTGCCTTCCACAATGCCATATGATCTCAAATCGAACTCTTTATTTAAACTTCCCCCCCCCTTGCCTTCCAATGCCATGATCTAAATTCTGAGTCTTTAGAAAAACTTCCCCCCCCCCTTTGCCTTTCCACAATGCCATGATCTAAAATCGAATTCTTTCTTTAAACTTCCCCCCTTGCCTTCCACAATGCCACGATCTAAAATCTACCTCTTTATTCAAACTTCCCTTCCCTTGCCATCCACTATGCCATAATCTAAAATCTAACTCTTTATTTAAACTTCCCCCCCTGCCTTGCACTATGCCATGGTCTTTAACCTAACTCTTTATTTAAACTTCCCGCCCCTTGCCTTCCACAATGCCATGATCTAAATTCTAAGTCTTCATTTAAACTTCCCCCCTTGCCTTCCACAATGCCATGATCTAAAAACGAATTCTTTATAAAACTTTTCCCCCCTTGCCTTCCACAATGCCATGATCTAAAATCTACCCTTCTTGATATAAACTTCCCCCCCTTGCCTTCCACAATGCCATGATCAAATTCAAACTCTTTATTCAAGGACTACTACCATGCTACAACTTCTTCAACGTCGAGATCGGTCTACACAAGAGCCTGCGACCAGGATCGGCCATATTTCATTCTTTCCATGCTTGTTCTAAGAATTTATCTTTCAGCTTGGACGAGATAACATTGGTTGTATGTTGCTGTTTTTGGCATGATGTCCAAGGACACTGAACTTCTTGATTGTTTGCGCAGTTTCCGAAAGCATCTCCCACAGTCATGTACATCAGCTACATCATTTACAATATCTTAAAACAGCCGTTGTTACACAGGAGTTAGGGCACCGAAGTTGTCGCACAGAAGTTCTTACATAAAAGAGCCCTTTGGGGCTGCAAGGGGGCTTGAGAAGGGCTTCAAGGGAGCTTGAAGGTGGCTTGCTTGAACGGGGCTTGAGAAGGGCTTCAAGGGGCTTCAAGAAGGGCTTGAAGGGGGCTTCAAGGTGAAGAGGGCTTCAAAAGAGCTTGAAGGGGGCTTGAGAAGGGCTTCAAGGGGGCTAAGGGGCTTTAAGGGGCTTCAATCCCTTCTCTCCTCGTGTCGCCCTGCCGGAGGGACCCTTCAAGTTTCTTTGAAGGGATCTTGGAAGGTGATGGTCGGATCCAGCCCACATCAGTTGAGGGATTTGCAGGTTGTCCTATGTGGGTTTTGTCTTTCTTGTCCATTGCCAACAAAAACACAGTTTGAGTCTACGATGTGTTCAATCATCACTTTTATGTTGTTTAGACCAATTTCAGGACCGAGCCTCTGAGCTTTAAAAAAAAAGGCAGGATCGAAGTTACAGCACCTGTCTCCAAAGCAAGCAGAAAACCAGGAAGTCAAGCAATGTATTGACTTGTTGCCACACTTATTGTGCAGTTTTACAGGTCTCTCTTTCAATCATAAGTCTCATATTCAGAGCCAAGCCTTTGAGCTTAATCGGTCACACTAGAGGAAAAGAGTGGACCGATTGAATCGCGTGATTCTTTTCTGCATTCCAATTCCACACTGGTAATCGAACAGAAAAGCACTTTCACACTCCCATTTTGGGACCGTCTAGCAGTGCCAAAAATGAACAGTAAAGGCCGAACCGTAACAAAGCATATCAATTGCTTTTATTTAATCAACAAGCACAAAGATTTGAAAAGTTCCCTTCTGGTTACGACAAGCTCATTTGAAAACAAAACATTGCGCTTCTGCAACCCTGGTGCAAAAATCTTCGAAAAAATGAACCTAAACACGGCCCTAAAAAACGAGTGCCTGGTACAAATTCAGATCGTTTGACAGTAATCTCACCAGCTTAGCAAGAATGAAAGAAAAAACACTTTCGGTCCCATTTTGCCGACCGTCTGGCGGAACCAAAAATGAGACCGCAAAACACAAAATGAACAGCAAAGGCCAACCAGGTTCTTGACAGATCTCTGCAAGGTCCTTCAAATCAAGTTTAGTGAGTTTCAGCACGCTTCAATCCTTTTGCTCTCGCACACAGAAGATCCTCTCCTCAGATGTACCATTTTAGAGAATCACTGACCTTGAGACTGCCATACGTCAACTATGTCAATTGAGCTACATTTTGGACAGTTGCACAATTGCTGCCCGCTACGAAGTTAGTCAA